GGATTTGACGCATCATGCTACTCTCTCGCAGGCCAAGACTATCATTCCAACTAAATTAGTTGACCCTGATGTACTCATGCAGATCGGCTAAGCTTACAATCAAGCTGGCATCGTCAACCTAACACCGTAGCAAAAGTTCCTGCACTCGGGAGCTGCGCTTACCCATCAGCATGCAACACGGAGCAACATATTATCTAGCACAGTGATCAGGATGATCGTCATTATAAGCACAGTCGACTTACGATAAGTCTTTCATCATCGGCCCTATCGTAACTGAAAGTCGGCAGTCCACATGTTCTCTGACGATGAATCAAGCGTGAACAGGCGTGCTCTCCGAGGTCGATGACGATAGAGAGACATTGAAGCAATCAATATACATACTATATGTGCCCGAAATGAGAGCCGCCGCCGTGCTAATAGCCAAACCTCACTATTTCGGCCGCTCTGCATCGCCGTATTCTTTGGTCCCAAGAATGACTGGTTGTGTTTCAACTGGGTATAGGGTAGCTTCGACGCTCTCACATGCAGAGCCTTTCTCGGCCACATGACTGCTTTCAACGAACGTCTAATGGGCTCTGGTTCCTACTCAATTATGGCTGTTCAACCCTTGAGCTTTTTGGTTTCGTTGCAGCTTTCTCAGTAGACAGCCGTAGACTTATCTATAGCTGAGTTGTGTAATTTTATGCACGAAAAGAACTTTTTCTGCATCTCAAGTAAACCCTCTGCTGACTGGTACTGAACAAAGTGAAATGATGTGTTCGGCTCTCATTGAGCATTCCGAGGCGGATTACTAGCTACAGGCTGTTTCTCGAAACATATAATCGATCGCAGGAGTACTTGACTGGTTAGAGTCGGGGGCCTACCATCAAATCAGAGTTTCGATACTCGTGGGAGAGAGTGGAAGCAGCCATGCCGGGGCAATGCAATATCTCGCCACGAGTTCGAACAGCTGGAATAGCAGTCGACAGAAAGGCGGCGGTGGAAATGCACCGAGACGTAAGTAACAAGATATTGTGATGCTTGCCGCCAGCCAAGCAGGCAACCCGCAGCTTCCATCATCACCACTCCTGATTTATAAAACCTCACAGCGTCAAATAGTACAATCCAGACCAAGTCTTGCGCAGCGAGTTGGAGCATCCTACCCTATCTAGTGACCCACACTCCCTCGTTTCCTCGGAGTTCAGGGGAATTCGATACGAAAAATTCTGGGGCGTCAGGATTCTCGGCTCTGTCCACTTGCCCCATCTGTCCGTATGGTGCCATGAACGAATAGTGTGGCCAAGACCTTGATACGCAAGCCCCTACTCTATTTCGAAGCTCTCCATCTTTCCCTACGCCAGGCTTGCCGGAAGGAAAGGCGCAAAGCCTGCAAAATCGCAGTGCCGGCTGAATTTCAAGTATATTTCATCATCGAGTGGCTTGCTCTTGACAAATGGGAATAGCTAGTCTTCCAAGAGCAGGATTTCGCTATACGAATGAAACGTTCAGGCGTTCGTTGACAAAAAGCCGAGATACTCCAAAGTCGACGAATGGATTAAATGTAGATAGAATTTCTTGCTGGCAACGGTGTTGAGAAGACGGGGTGCTTCATCCTCCATTCTCCCTTCTGCAGAGATCACACATCGCACATACCCCTTCCACCTTACGGCTCTCAAACTCTCGCACTGCTGTGACTTCTTCCCAAGTTCTCGCTTACGCTCTTTACGCTGCGTCTTGAGGGCATTGTAGTCTTCGCATCCGAGTTAATGTTCGATCGTACTAATTCACAGTCCTTCTCCAGGTCCCTTCGCATTGGCATTCGGAAGGTGACCTTCGTCTTCCCCCTCGGTGAGACGACCGAGATCAGAGATCTTCATCAAAGCTGCAGGACAAATTTTCTGATTTTGGAGGATGAAGAGTACCACGCTGATAATAGAGTTGGTGGCGATCCAAGAGATTGAGTCTTTCCTTTGAGAGGAGACGGGTCAGTGCTACAGACAGAACCACGTGTTGCCATGGTTGAGTGATGGTAGAAAATGCGCAGACCAAAACGATTGCATGAGGTTCAGCGTTCTCCCTGCCCGTTCCGGCCTCGAAACGGATCGGGTACTGTGAAGTCTTCGTGTCATGCCGTTGAAGGAGGAAAATGAAAGCTCGGTACGGAGACGAGAAGGCAAATGCCAAAGCACCGTGTCTCGGCCCCTCCGCGGTTTCGGGCAGGCTACTTATATGCGTACAAAGTGCCACTTTGTTGATCCAAGGATGAGAGTGGATAATTACATGCTCATGCACATCAAGTATCAAGAACAATTTCCAGTGGTTTCTAGTATTCGTAACGTACATGGTTTATTTGTTTCCCACCTCGTATATCTCGATCTTGAGCCGGACACAAGTAGCAAGATCAGTGACGATACTGGAACGTCTTGATCAACAATCTCCGTTACGTGCAACTTCAATATTCCAAGATCATAAGCAAACCATACTCTCTCGAGTGCTTTCTAATCTTGCTGCATCATGGTACTCATTCTCTGGTCACATGTCCCAGGCATTGGAGATGAGGTATCCAGTCGGATTCACTGAGGAATACAGGAATTTCGACTGACACCAAACGACACTAGCAACAGCGTTTAATGTAGTTTGCTAACACCCTTCTCCACCGTCGCGAGGGGCGACATTGCGTTACCCATCGGCCAACAAGCATCAGGCAAAGGGTTGCCTCTCCCCCTCTAGTGGCCGACTCGCTGCGCGAGCTCATCAGCGCCATTAGGCCAGCAACCCACGGAGACTCAAACGCTTCAACTACATGTATCGTATGTTTCCAAGCGCTCACTTGTATGTGGCTCACGGCAGCACGTGGCGATCTGGCTTCTCGATTCGCCACGATATGGAGGGTGAAGGCGCTTCGGACACGAGACATAAATCAGGAACCAGCACGGGATTCCTGGCACTCCTGCACCAAGCACAATGCAGCTATGTGTCAGGCCATTTACCACTGCGTCTATAAAACAAGGCGGTGCACATGAAGCCACGAAGGCCCAGCACTACTCGCAACGTCACCCAAGCAGCTTGGTGCTTCACGTCGCCACCACTCTCGCTGAAACAAGCTGCGACTGGTTCAACTGCAGATCTTCTGCAGATCAAGGGTGTGAGGCCTGTGCCCTTTTGTGTTGGGTAGCCGTGACCATATTCTGCAACGTTGCTCTGCGATAGGCGTATTGATGTTGGTGCATACTTGAAGTCGTTCCATACAGCCTACAAGCCAGAAAACCAAGAAAGAAGCTACGAGGACCAAGTCCACCTAGGATTCATCTAAGATAAATATAAGAAGAAGAGGGGCAGGCTTCGATGTGGAGCTGGGAAGTGTCCCGAGTCTGGTAGGCGAGCAGAAGCATCATCGAATAGTCGACCACCTTGCACGATCACACGTCACTTCACAACGCACTGGCTGCGGCCCGTGCTGCGCATTGTGCATACTTACAGTGGTCTCTGGCACATGGGGACGCACATCCACGCCCGCATGCGTAATCGTGCAACCAACGAGCACACCCGCCCATCAACACGAGCGACGGCCAGGGGAACCCGCTGTTTGACGTTGCTGCCAGGAACGGAGCCGCGGGATCGGTTGCTGGCCTCGCGAGTATTGAAGTAAGCTCTTTTCCTCTCGCGTCAACTTGTTCTCGTGATCAGATGCTTGGGTTGACTGCTAATTCCCTCGTCAACGCTCTCCATGATGCTATTGCGCTGACACTCAGGGGCAGATCATACTCTTCTACAGATCGACGTGACAAGACAACTGGGCTTGAGGGATCAAAATGAGTGAATCAAAAGGGTACTCCTTTCTTACCACTACAATCGTCCCTCAGCCTCGTTCTCTTCCTGGAAACCCTACCATGCCAACCAGTCTTCCGTCCTCGTCGGACCGAAGTCTCAGCTGCCGTCCCCTGTCCCGTCGCGATGCACGGCATAGACCAGCCTTCTGCACGCGGGACGACAAGCCCCTACACCGGGTGTGTGGCACCAGAGTGTATCACCCTCAGCCAGCGGATTTGTGTCCCCACGCCGTACTCATCAAGATCAATGACGCGCCGCTCGCCTGGGAGCAGCTCGCGCGATAGCTGCGGACAAAACAACGTACGCACGTCAGCAACGTATGCCCAACATGGATGTCCCATTTTCTCCTTCTCTCCGTATTCATGTCCCCACCCGTCTATTCCAGTCGCCGGGCCTCTTTGAACCGGGTTGTCTCCGCTCAGCCTCTCGTGGGGTCCTAGGGTGCGGTTTGTATTTGACTTGCGTTTACATAGTATCATCCTATTCCCCTCCAAGTTTCGATAGTAATTTCTGAAACGATGGGATCTCTTATAGCCAGCAGCTACATGACAGACTTCGACAGGCTTAGCTCTCCGCAACGATGCCCAGATTTGTGGGATCGAAGTTGGTTGGCACCCTTCGGCTCCCAGGCAACACCCAAGGCTTTTACTTTGGCAACTTTAGCTCAGAGCGACTTGAGATCCGAGCGTCGATCTTGTCCCCTCCTCTAGCCCCGCTCAGCTATCCCAGAACGATCTCACGGTCCGGGTCTGAACGAGACGATGTCGACTTGACATCAGGCAACCTGGGCACCATCCAAATCCCCGAAGAAAATACTCGAACGGAGCGTGCAACGGGTTCCAACTTCAGTGTTCAATATCAGCATATGAGTCTGGAGCATAGTGAGAAGCGAGCGACCAGTCCCGACAAACTATTGTTCTGGGATCTTAGAAGCTCGGACAGCGGCGAGCCAGCCGAAAACACTTCCACCCGGCCGGCCGGACGCAGCGTTTCTTCTCCGCAGCTTTTCTCGCCGTCGACACCCGTACGTCCACAGCGGACGGAAGGCTTGCGACATATCATGAGCAGCAGCGATGCGCCAAACCCTCCTTCTCGCTCTCCTGGCGTCAGTCGTCAAATCTAAGGCTCCCGGGGGCCCTGACGGAATCCATCGCATCGGCAAGGGGGCCCAGACCACAAGGCGCAGTCGGATGCACCCGAGGGACGCCAGCAATGTCTGCGGCACCGATATGAAGCTGTGTCCCAGCAGCCTGGGCGGCAACTGCTGCCCCGGAAACTACGAGTGTGCCAGGGAGAGCTGCTATGCGACAACAAAGGGGCCATCGACGTGCGGTACCAAGGTCGGATGGTATGCCTGCGCGGCAGTGTATGGAGGTGACTACAGCCTCCTCTCTATCTTGTCCCATTTATGGCTCATGCCCTGATACCAGTCTCAGTGCTAACATGGAGCAGGCGGTTGCTGTCCGGATGGTTATATGTGTCAGAGAGCCGGCAATTGCGTGCCTCCGTCCGGCTCGCCATACACATTTGGCTGTCCCGCGAGCCAGTATCTGTGTCCTTCGTCGATGAACTACGGCTGCTGCCCGAATGGCATGGGCTGTGCCGTCGACCAATGCTATTCGACAAATGCAGCTCCCGTGACCAGGACCATGGTCATCACAACGACGGAGCAGGGCCTCGTTACCGAGCTGACCACGACAGCCACGGCCTTGGCATCGCCCGCGTCACCGACTGCCTTTCCGGAAGTGGACCCAGATATGGACAGCGAGGACCAGAAAGTGCTCAAATACTATCCGGCCGCCATTCCCAAGGTGTCGCCTCCAGGGGGAAGCAACAGCGGAATCTCACCGGCACAACTGGGCGGCATCGTCGCCGGCTGCGTGTCTTTTGCCATCCTCGTTCTCCTCGCCGCATTTCTGCTCTGGAAGCGATTCCGGAGAAACAGCTCGACGGCTAAAGAGGGGCGACGGCAGCCCGAAATGTCATCGGGCTCGCACACCATGAATCTCCAGAAGGCCGACTGGGACGCCGACGCCATGAGCGTGGATGCAATCGTGACGACCCCTTGCACGTCCCGCACCCGGCCGAGTCCAGGCAGAGTCGAGCCACCGTCTGTCCACGGCAGCACGGAGCTGGCATTGACGGAGCAGACGCCCACGACCCCTGCCGAAAGGGGCTACTATGACCACGCCTCAGGACGGTCCCCGGCCACGTATAGCGAGCATCGGGGCATGCCGGCGCCGTCCATCAGCCATGCGAGCCATGAATCGTCTCCCGTGTACGGCGGCCGCCATGCGCGGGCCTTGAGCGACTTGTCCGACGTGTCGAGCAGCGTCGACATGGGCAGCGCCCGGGAGCGAGCGCCGCCGGCCGAACTCGAAGCCCAGCCCTGGATTGCTGAGCTGCCGAGCTCGCCTTCGGCCATGGCCTCGGCGGCCGCCGGCGACTGGTCGAGGCTGGATGCCGGCGTGCAGGGATGGGTTGGGCGGCCGCCACCACCTGCTTATAGCCAGCATCAGATGACGAGGATTGATGGATGGGCCAACACCGTCGCAGCATCGAGGCTGGATGTGGTGGATGAAGAAAAGCCCGCGCGTTATGATTGATGTATGACTTTTTGGATGAAGAGCCTTTGATGGAGGCAACGCGTTGATGAGTGGACGAGGGGGCTTATGTGTAAATTACATGTAATGCATCATGGACCGATGCTTCAAGGGGCTGCCCTGGCGGCACGGACAATGATGTCGGGGTTGACGGGGGTTGGATGCATGTTTCGTCTAACTATTTGCCCGTTTTCACGGCTTGGCGGTCAAGCCAAAAGATGAAGCCACTCTCTACATAGCGGGACTCGAGATGGATGCATTAATCTATATCCTTGGACACATGCAGCTGTGGCATCGATCACGGGGCTGTATACTTGCCGACTTCTGATACAGTCGTGCCGGCACTGGGCTGAGAGCTGAGAGTATAAAGTAAGACGAAACGAGACGAGCAGAGAGGCCTGCTCGTCAGTCAAGGTCTCAGGGTCGGAAGAGCGACGACGCAGCCAGTAGGCGAGTGTCTTGAACTGGAGGCGAACAACCAGGCTCGCTTCCACCGGCGGCTGCATGATGCCATAAATCCGAGGATGGGTCTCAGTCAAGCTCACGTCGGATACGATGGGAAATCTGCAGCAATGGCGGATCATGTCTCGCGCAGCTAGATCCTTTGTTGGCATATGCCGCGCCTATCAACAACAACAGTAGGGGACTCGAGCAGTTAACGGTTCACGGCCAAGGAGTCCGCCAACATACAGGCAAGTTATACGGACAGTTTTGCTCGGAGAGCGAGCAAGAAAACACCATTTGGTGAATAAAGTGTCACAAGTCAGAGAGTAACATCCTCTGACCAACGGGTACAGCGTTCCGAATGCAAACGCAGAGCCGCCGGTCCGACACAGTCACCCCGGGAGGAGGATTAGGTTCGGTGCCATGCAGGCCGAGCAGAGTCTGACACTACCTGTTAGAACAGGAGTGAAAGTGATAGAATGAGGCGTATTTGGAGGCCCGTAGGGAGGTGGACTACTACAGGTAGAGAAGCTCTATGAACGGGCTGGCATTGTCTATGGCCAACAGAGAGCCCCCCGAGCCGAGTCCGTGCCGCCCTAACAATCTCGCACATTATCGCGCCAGTTTCTCGCATTCAATGAGAACTGTCCCAATTATCGCAGCCCGGGCGGAGACTGGGCTGGAGTCGGCAGAAGGCCAGCCAACGGCCTGGCCAGCGCTGTGGCAACCTAAATCGCCCAACGGCGTTGGCCGGAGACAGGAGGCTGATCCTGCCGGTCCACATTCCCTCGTCGTTGCTTTGGCCGTCGCCGGACTGCCATCTTCGGAATGTTCGGGCACAGGGCAAGCTGGAAGCATCGAGGCGTACATGGGGAAGGGTAGGGCTTCAAGCAGGTTAGACTTGAGGGTCGGCATGTACAGAAAGAGAGTCGCGAACTTCCGACTCGTACCGTTTCCCTGATTCTCGACGCCCGATTAGCTTGTGGGGTGTTCATGCAGGCGAGCGCCTCGATGGCGTGGTTGGTGCAACTGCTCCTCCGCCACCTTTCGCCTCCCCATTGTCTCCTCTTCACAACTCTTCCACTGTCTCACGCCGTCCTTGGCAGTCATCAAACTCACAGGACTCCACGAGGAAGCCGGTGGAGATTGCGATGGTTGGCCTGCGGCCCGCGTCGAGGCCAGCTGCTTGGTTCGTGATACCGTGCTCAACTCCTCGTCGAGATTCATCATCAAACAGCGATCCACTTGCACAGCAACCAAGAAGAACCCGGCCTGCATCAATAACGTAGCGGAAGCGCCCAAAGCCTGGCCGGGGCATCGTCCAACGTGATCAGATCGACAGGGGGGGGGGAGGGGTTCGACGGATACGACTTTCTTGTTTAAGTCTGTGCTCCTTTTTACGGGCCAGCCCGAGCGAAGTCCGTACCCCATAATCGTATCGAGGAGTGTTGACTCTTCAAGGCAGCTGATAACTTGCCGGACTTGCGTGAGATACGGCTTGCATCACAGAGTGTCGACTTGGCGGCTAGACCGATGCAACTCTGTAGGCAGTACGGGGGCCACCTGCATCGGGAGGGAACAGAATCAGCTGGACACTCGCGGTTCCTGACATTAGTTTGTAAGCCCAGGGGTTCATCCACCTCTCCGCACCATCCTAACCATCTTATCTACTTCGTACATGACCCGTAACGCCGAGGTCTTTGAAGCTCGCTTCCTCCCATTGCATCTGACACTCCGGGCAAGAAGTTGTAATTCAGCTCGATCGGTTCGATGGTTCCTGTCGTGTGTTATGTCCCAAATGCTCAGGGACTTTGTCGTATGGATGCCGTGAAGAGTGAGTGCAGAGTCTGGGGAACCCCTCCCCCCTCCACTCCGCCCCTCTTTCGTGCTTGTCCTCATGTGCATCGACCTTCCTGATGTAGGAGGTCTCGTCCGCGATGGGCAGGCGGCGGTCCTGAGTCAGGCCCAGAACGCCTCGGCAAAGTCGAGACAGAGAGAGACAGCACTGCGGGAGCGTACACGCAAGAGGAAGAGGTAGAGAGAAACCCCTCCTGACCCCATGCAAGAGAATCACTTGCTTGCCCTCGAATCCTCCGGACCGGGAAGGGAGCTGAGATATCATGGTTCTTCCGTGTGTGGTTGGGGGTGCAGAAGATGCAGTGCAGAGGGCCAGCCGGAGCGAGGGCACGTTGCCGACTCGGCTGCATCCGCCACGGAGCGGCGAGCCGAGACCGGGAGGAGAAAAAAAAGGAGATGAGGAGACGGCAGACGCTTTATCGTCTTGCCACCTGGAAATATAACTCGGCCTTGGCTGCCTCTCTCCCAACCTGTTTCCTCCTCACTAGCTGCCCTGCCATTGTCTCTCCTTTCAAGATCCAGCGGGTTTCCCCTATCCCGACGCCAACCTCGACGCGTTCATCTATACCAAGTACTAATTACTCCACCACTCATTTCCGCAGTTCCGAGTTTGAGATGAAGGCCGTCACCCTCGTACCAGCATTCGCCGTGGCGGCCCTGGCCGGTGCCATTCAGGCCCGCGACGGACACTGCGGTGGCGACAACTGCGCCCGGCAGGTCACGGGCACCCGGCCCGGCCTGACGCCCATTTCCTCCCGCCGGGCCGACTGCTCCAACTTCATGAAGACGACGGTGGTCCCGGACGCGACGTGAGGGCCGCTCTTACACCGCAAACAGAGAGAGAGACACTGACGACAGACACAGGACAACAACCGTCACCGTCACGGCGACTCACGGGGAGGCGGCGCACGTGCGCCGGGACGGCGCTCTCGAGTACCGGGCGGCCACCGAGTCCCCGACGGTCATCCCGGCCTACGCCCCGGGGTGCCGGGAGCTCCGCAACTACTCGTCGGCCTGCTCGTGCTGGGGCATCACGGCGGTGACGACGACGGCCCCGCAGCCGACCAAGACGGAGACGGTCACCGTCACCACGGACGCGTGCGAGGATCTCTAGGCGGCCTTTACTTGCATGTTCTCCACTTGGTTTGGTACCTAGGTCTAGAGGGCAAGCGAGAAGGGGAGACGGGGGGGGCTGAATAGTGGAGGTTGGGAAGGGGAGGTTGGTTGAATCATCTTTGCTTTTTTGTTGAGCCGGCGGCGAGAGGAAAGCTGTCGAAGCGGCGCGAGACAGAGCCGGCGTGCATGAGTTATGGATCATGACGGTTGCCGCCATTGATCTTGGCGTCACGGAATACACTTCTTGAAACGAACTCGTGTGCCAAGGCCGTCTCTTGGACCCTTTTTGCGTTTGTCCTTGTTGAGAGGAAGAAAATGTTTGCCATCGGTTGGTGGTCGCCTGGGAGACGCGATGGCGCCTGCGGGATGACGGCGAGGCGAGGAGAGCAGAGCAGAGCCAAGAGCCGGCACAGGGGGGAGGGGCCGACGGTTGGCCAACAGCCTTTTGCTCGCCGTCAGCTTCCTAGGGGCCTATGCTGGCCAGACCTGCGGCTGAGCCAGTAGGCCTTGGAGCTGTGCCGCCGCGGCCGCTGTGCATTGGCCATTGGCCGCGAGGGCGAGGCTTGTGTCTAAGGCGGCGATTTAGGAGTCTTTGACCATGGTCAGGGACAAGAGCAGCCAAGGGTTCTACAAGGAGGCGGGTGAATCAGTGGAGCGAGCGTTGGAGTGATGAGACTGTCTCGGCATGGCGTTTCAGGGGTACTGGTGGATGATTCCCCTTTCTCTCTCCCTCTCTCCCCCCATCTCTCTCGCTCTCTCTCTCTCTCTCACGCACACAAGGACAACCAAGCATAAGTTAAGTTAAATAGGTAAACAAGATGGAGCCAACGGGAGTGTCCGGTGTGCGGGTGGATCCTCGCTCAGGGGGCTTGACATCCGCGGTCCGCTCCGGTGGGCGTTGCGTCGAGGGTCCATCCAGCAGCTAACGAGCGTCCGTCTTTTGGCTCAAGGCATGTCGATGCACGGCGTGCGCTTATCCAGGCGGTTGTTGTGTGTGTTTGCCGAGACGACAAGGTGGTTGCCTGCGCCCTGTAGGTATCCGTCAGCCCGCCGAGCAAGCGCACAGTGCAGTCAGACAGGCGGTGGAGATTGGACGAAGCGAGAAGCCCGTCATGTTGGCTTCTTGTATGACAGCTGTTTGAGTGCCTCTCCCGTGAAACAGGAGGCGGAATGCGACCTTGTTCTAGAAATGGGCTCACGATGGAGAAGGGACGGGGAAAAAGTGGGAAGCAGGGAAAAGGAGGAGAGACGGCGGCAACGAAAAAGAAAGGCAAAGAAAAGAAAAGAAAGGGAAAAAGTCGACGCCAAAATTGACGGTTTAATTTCCAGCCATGACGCCAACCGGAGACGCACCAGACGGTGACCCCACGCGCCGTCGGCCCGGCAACGGCGGTAAACAAAACCCCCAGACCATCCCGTCGTGAAGCCAAACGGCCACCCACCAGGCCTCGCGCTGGCTACTGCACATACATACATACGTGTCAGTTAATAATTACATGCAGCTCTTTTTGTCCTTGCTTGCCCGCTGCGTTGTTCCTGTTGTTGATACCTGACGTCCTTTTTTAAAACTTTACCTTCTTTATTTACTTTTTTGTTCTTCCATAGCAAGCAAGCGGTGGTCTCTCTCCACCATAATCAAGCCTCACCGCCTCGTCTGATGCCCCGGCGACGGCACTTGCACCCCGACACCGATTTTGACATACATGTCGATCCATCGTGCGAGGCCCTGACAGCATCAATGGAAATCGACCACCACCACGAGATGGCAGTCGACGACGAGGCGGCGCCACTTGAGCACGCGGGCCAGGAGCTCGATGAAGCAAACCACTCGGACCACCAACAGCAAGAGAACGAAGCGGGGAGCCTGGAGAAGGAGGAGGCAGACGAAGAAGGCTCCGGGTGTCGCTCTGCCGCCTCGCAGATGAGCAGCCGCCGTGCGTCGCGCCGCACCGAGGCCCTGATTCACGCCGCCGCCCGCGACATTGTCGAGCACGTCGGCAGCCGCCATCATCGCCAGCCGTCCTCTTCCCACGAAGCCGCCGAGGAGCAGAACCAGTCGTGCGACGGGGCCGAATCAGTCGCCGGCCACAGCGTCGTGTCGAGCGGCGCTGGGAGCAACGACGGCGACGACCACGTCCGCAAGTCTCCCGCCGACGAGGCCGGAGACAGCAGCTCCCATCACGAACACGAGGACGACGTCTTCAGCGACCACAGTCCCCGTAGCTCCCTCGGCTCCATGTCCGAGGCGGAGCAGACAAAGATTGAACAGACGCTGTCCCAGCGAAACATCACTCAGCGCGTCCGCTCCCCGCGCATCTCCGACATCCCCCCCTCGGACCACGACGAACACTTCATGGCCACCATCCGCGGCACCCCGAGGCCTCCTTTCCGATCCCCCTCCTCCGTCCAGGCCATGCAGATGGCCTCACCCCCGGCCTCCAACCTCGGCACCCCCCGCTCCGCCCGCCGCACCCCGCTGCCCACCGTCTCGCGCCTCGCCTCGCCCAGCATCATGGCCCAGTACTCGCCCAAGAAGACGCCCCCCAGGTTCAAGCGCGCCACCCCGCCCCTCGTCCTGCTCCACGTCACCCTGCTGCCCCTGCGCTGGGCCTGGGGCGCCGTCCTGGACCGCGCCTCGCCCGCCGACCTGAGCCCCGAGGCAAAGACGCTGCGCGAGGCCTGGGGCCAGCTGCAGGACCGCACCGGTGATACCGTCTCGGACCGCGGCATCCTGCTGCCACATCCGCAAAACGACTACGAGGTCCTCGAGGAGCGCTTGCTCGAGGCCCTCGAGCTGCCCCTGCGCCGCCGGGCTCGCATCCTGGAATGTGGACATTACTTGGGCCCCGCCAACGAAATGTCCCTGCCCGACGACGTCGACGATGAAGAAGACTACGCTGACGGCGCCCCGGCGCCCCGGGCCAGCTTGGACAAGGCTCACTGGTGCCGCACCTGCCACTCCGAGGTCAGGTACGACTCCCTGGGCCAGGGCAAGGTCTTCCGCGTCAAGGTCTACGCTAGCAACGGCCTTATGCGTGCCGGCGCCTGGGAGGCCTGCTGGAAGGAGATGGAGCGCGTCGACGTCGAGCTCGAGCCCATTGTCGACGCCGCCTTGCAGGACGAGCTCGTCCACGTGTCGGCGGAGCAGGAGAGGGCCTTGGAGATGGAACGGGCCCTGGCCGACGAGCACCGCGAAGCCTCGGAGACGGAATACGACGAGGATGATGGAGAGGACGAGGTGGAGGAAACAGAAGTGGCTGGGCCAGATGAACAGCCCGACGAGGACGACGAGTCGTTTCTGGAGCAGGCACAGGATCCAGAGCTCGAGCATGAGCTGTGCTCATCGCCGCCTCGACCCGATGAGGCGCCACCCAACTCCAGTCCGGCCCCGATGGAGGACCACCGTGCCGAGCACGAGGAGGAACGACTGCGGGAGATTTACGGGCGCTCGCCGCAGCCACGCCGAGAAAACACCCGCGACCACGAAAGCGATTTCGTGGCCCACGACATGACCCCCTCGCCGCCGTCCGCCGAGTCATCTTCGCGGCGCCAAGACAGGCAGCAGCAAGCCTACAAGACGGCCTCTTTCCCGGAGCTGGTGCTCGAGGCCGGCAAGGTACTGCTGCAGGATAAGAAGAACGTCATGATTGCGCTGCTCAGCGCCCTCATCCTAATGCTAGCCGTCCGGGGCGCCCGCCCGGCGTACGATCCGGCCGCTTTCCAGCCCGTGATGCCGCGCCACAATGCCCACGCCATGCCTCACCACCCCCAGGACCCCGTGGCCGAGGCCGCCATGCACCAGAAGACAGCCACGATGGCCACGGCGGCTCCTTCGCCGAGCCCCTCGTCCCAGTCGGCGGCGGCGGCGGTCGACCCGTGCGCGTCGTCGCTCGAGGTGGTGGCCAACCATCGGGCTGCTCGCGACGGCGCCGGCGACGCGTCGACAAGCACGCTGCGCGTCTTCGAGACGTGGCGCATCGTCGAGACGGTCACCGAGACGGCGAAGGAGACGCTGACGCAGACGGAGACTGTCTCGGTCAATGTCGTCGGCGGCGGTCCGGCGGCGGCTCTGGAGACGGATGCGCTCGCGAGATGGGGCGCGTGAGTGGACAACGGGACGATGGCCACGGACAAGGGGAACGGCCCCCCCCTTTCCCATACGGTTTTTCTTCCTTTTTTTTTATTACTTTTATACATGAGCGATGCGCACATACCACGACACAGACAAAAACAGAATTACAACATGACAGAAGGCAGAGTGGAAGAATGACGACGAGGGAGAAGAAGATACGAAAGCATGTCCCGCCAGATGTAACTAGCCTGACTGAGAGCACATTGCAGAAACTGTTGCCGTTTTCCGAATACATAATACATTGCCGTGACACATGAAGTGGAATAGAAGGCCTCGTCTCCCTCGCTCTGACGGTAGTTCACTTGCTGTGCACGGTGGAATGGGAAGTAGTTCCACCCGTTTACGATGAAAAGGGACTTTATTCTGGGCTGCTCATGTACCTGAATATCCATGTGTCGGTAGCCCCGAAGAGTAATCCGTGTTTGCCTTGTTCAGATACTGGTCGACGACGTTGTTGCCAACGCAAAACCAAGAAATGTACCGCATAAAATTGCATCTCGCTAGAATAGGGAGGGTCTGCGCCCCCTTTTGCTATCTAGGTGTATGTGCAGCCGTCACAGCCGAATGTACAAGTCCATGCACTCGATCCTCCACTCGCGTCTGCCGAGGAGGCTCCTGAGCCACTCCATGCCGAGGCCAGTCCACTCGGCTCTGCGGGCGGCGACTGCGTCTGCGGCGGCGCCGGCGAGGGCCTTTGCCGTCGAGTTGGCCATCTCGACGAGGGTGGCGTTGAAGGCGTCGGACGAGTCATCGGCGGCGGTGGTGGCAGGCCGGGGCACAAACCAGTTGCTGCGAAAGTCGAAGAAGCAGCGGTCGGACCAGTTGCACGACGTGAGGAAGAGGACGAGGAGCAGGATGGAGCAGTAGACGCAGGGCCGATTGAGGAAGTAGGTGCAGATGAAGAAGAGGAATATGAAGACGGGCGAGGCGTTTGTGGGGATGAAGAGGAGCGGGAGCCAGCTGCGGGGGAAGGCAAGTTAGCTCTTGATTGTGATTTCTGGCTCTCAATTCTTCTTCGTCTTCGTCTTCTCCGCAGCCGTTCGTGCGTCCAATGGCGAGCCTGACGTACCTTCGCAGGCAAAACATGATGGGCGACCAAGCAGCAGCCGCTGCGGGTGTGCGCGCGCGTGCGCCCCCCTCAGCCCGATAGTGTTCGTCACTGCCTCAACAGCCGTGGCCGGGAGAGAGGGCACTCTTCCCAGGGATGAAAGAGACGAAAAAAAGAGCTCCTGGCGCGCCAGGCCACGAGGGAAGCGTTTCCTCGCCCCCCCACTCCCTGTCTCGAGTCGGTCGCGGTAGTAGTTGGGGGGACGAAGCCGTTTGCGTGTGGCGTCGGAGAAGTTGAAGGACAAGACGGGGAGAGAAGGAGGCGCAAAGAGGCCTTTGGGCGGATGAGGGTGAGGTTGTCGAGGGTGGCGTGAAACGGCGAAGAGAGCCGCCTGCTTACCTACGCCGGGCTCGGCAAGACGTCACTTGTGTTTCACGGTGCGGGAGCGGTCCAGTTGAATATGCGCACTGTCTTTTTGCGCCCACCATCCCAGTAAGCACAGTGCAGGAGGAACGGCTGGTCAAGACTCTGCAAGCCACGGCAGCACTGGTAGCTTGCTTGTGATGCCGATGGCTGTACTGTATGCATTATGGACGATAGCCTTGGCATTGAAGAGGCGTCGGCTTTTGACATTTGACAGGTGCAGCGGCCAGTCAAGGACCAGTTTTCGTCTCGACCGGCCCGAGTGGTGGCTCCTATTGTACGGTCTTGACTGCGCTGCGAAATGTACATACAGCCTTGCAGCCCAAGTTGGACGTGGCTCTACTCCGTACTGTCATGTCGTAGTATCTCATCTCTACAGGATAGCGGCATCGGCGGTGCTTCAACAAAGGATTGCCGGACTAACGAATACGCGTGAGCGGGTGGCGGCGGGAGGCTCCACGTCAGAGCAACGGCCAACGCCCATCTGCTCACCTCGAGTGCGGGCGCAAGGGGCTTTCTCCATCCCATGTCACTTGTCGCAATTGCCTCACCGTCACGAATACCGGTGGCTGGGCTCGTTGGGCTGCCACGCATCTGCCGTTTTTTTCTTTGGCTCCAGGCTGGTGCTGAGAGCGCATTGCTTACATAATACCGTTTTTTTCTCGCCTGCTTCCCTTGACTCGAGATCCTCTCAGCTCGCAGCAAGCTCCCCGGAACCTTGCGCCAACCTCAGCTCGCGCCTCCGACAACCACCACGTCGGCGGATGCAGCCATAGAGAGAGCAAGAGAAAAGCAACAAGCCGACTCTTCTCTTTTGCCGCTGAGCGAGCCTTCACTCCTCCTTTCCTTGTTCCCCCTTCGCCGACCCGGCCAAAAGCTCGCGCGAGAGGGCAGAATCCTTTCGACACCGCTTTTGCCTCGTCAACACCCAACCTCAATCATCACCTACGTGCGAGCAGGCCCAGCCAACCCTCGGCCCGCTCGCCTCGTAGCCTCCGTCGCTCCCCGGCGGCCATTCCACCGCCATGGATCTGCCTGCGGCTCCGACGCCACCTGTCAATACCAGCGGCATGCCCTCCAACGCCGACCGCACCGCCAACCTGCTCAACCTGCTCAAGTTTAGCAGCTCCGGCGCCTCGGCTCCCAGCTCTCAGCAGCAACATCAGCAGCATCAGTCGCCCCCCCATCAGCACCACCCCATGCATCACGGGGACAATCAGCAGCAGCACCACCATGCTCGCCGCCCCAGCTTCGGCCATGGCCAGTATCCCGCTGCTCGAATCCATCAGCCTGCTCCCACGGGTGCCGATCCCACGGGTCTGCTCGCCGCCCTTATGAAAGGCGCCCACGAGTCCGAGGAGCCCCGGCAGGCCCCTCAGCCCTCCACCGCCCATCTTCAGCCGTCCAACTCGTTTGCCGCCGGCTCCCCTTCTGCCGATACGAGATCCTATCTTCTCAACCTCCTCAATCGCCCCAAGCCCAGCCAGACCGACCAACCCATCATGGCCGAGTCGTCGCGCTCCAACGACCCCACGCCGCAGTCTCACGACGACGCGGCCGATACCAATCGCTACTATGGCCAGTACCAGCAGCCGCCCAACGCCTACCAGCCGGCGCAACCTTACCAGCCGCACCCGAGCCAGTCCGAGTCCTTTAGCGATGTTCAACATCCGGCTTCCAATGTCAGCTCCTTTTCCTTTCCCCAGACGCAGGAGTCGGCCGACGTCTCTGCTCTGTACCACCACGTCTTTGGCAAGATGCAGCAGTCTTCGCCCCAGCATCATGATGCCGACGCCGCCGCTGGCGCCGCTCCCTTCCACATCCTCAAGAAGGACCAGCCCTCGCCCGCGGGCTCCAACTCGCGCGAGCAGCCTCGCCCCGGCAGCGAGCGAAGCACTCTGGCAAGCCCTCCGGAACATGGCCGGCGCGCCGTCGACCGCTCCTCGTCTCTGCACTCTCACCAGTCCGTGCAGCAGCCCCCGAAACAGACGCCTCAGACGTCTGAATTTGATAGCTTCAGTCCCGCTGGCAACAAAAATCAGTCTGTTGCAGACTCGGCTGGGGACATGCCGGCCAAGGAGGACCCGGATTCCCACGAGAACCTGGACAGGGCCGCCGCGCGCGACACAGAGCAGCCGGTGATTGCCGAAGCCTCTGATTCGGAATGGACCACGGGCCCTCGTAAAGCCACTGTTTGGCCCTCGGGCCCCGAGGCCACTGCCTGGACCGACGACGAGCAGAGCAAGGACGAAGTGAAAAGAGACCTTGACGATGACCCGGCTGTTGGACCCTCCGAGTCGTCCCACGGCCACGTTGACCAGGAACCCGATCCTGTCCCGGCCGAGAATCCCCAGGCTGTTGTTGACAGCTGGGAAAGTGCCGACCAGGAGGAGATTGTGGTCATTGAAGAAAAGGAACATACGCCGGTTCGCGTCTTCAACTTCCCCGTGAAACCCTGGATCTCCATCACTCTTCAAGACGACAGCACCGAGCCCCGGCCCCTTCTCCGCGACGAGTGCATCATGGACATTGCTCGCCTCAAGAAGGACTTTGACCAGATTGACCGCAACCTTTACACCGCCTCGCAGACGTACATGACGTACGGGATGTCCAAGCAGGGCGGTCTGCGCGTTATCCGCCAGGACGACGGCAAGGACGCAAAGGTCTTTACCGACACAAAGGACCGCATCTTTAACGTTGCCATGTCCGTCGCCCCTGACGACAGTGAAGGCGTGCATAGGGAGGCCATCATTGGCACCGGCGTCAGCGGTACCGTATATTGGGTCCAGATCAAAGAGGGCGAAAAGGACCACATTGAGGATACCCACCTGGAGCAGTATGGCTTCGCTCTTCCTCCCATGTCCTCTCAGGATGGCGACACGCCCGGCGGCGTTCTCAAGACGAGGGCCCGGGCTTCGACCATGCACCCCGAGTACTTCGCTGTCGGCCGCGGAAAGACCATAAACTTCATCTGGCCGTCCTACATCATGCACAACAAGCTATTCAAGACGGGTCACGACCGCGTGGTCGACACGGACAACCTGCTGAAGCAGTGCTCGCTCAAGATCAATACTGGCAAGGCCGGCAAGGACTTCACCTTTAGCCAAGACGACACTGTCGTCGTCTCTCTCGACAAGTCGGGCCGGATCAAGTTCTGGGACGTCCGAGACCTGACGGCCGCCAAGGAGGGCTCTGATCCTCGCGCTCCCATGCCGGCGCAGACGTCGCTGGAGATCAAGGAGCCTCTGCTGACCCTGTCGAGCACGCGCGAGGGAGAAAAGGCCTGGCCTACCTCGGTAATGCTCCTCGACAAGCAGCGCCCTTTCCAGAAACGGTGCGCCCTCCGCTATATGATTGTCGGCATGAAGCAAAACCACACTCTGCAGCTGTGGGACCTCGCGCTCGAAAAACTGGTCCAGGAGTTCAACCTCCCCCACAGCAAGGAATCAGACGCCGTGTGCAGCGTCATGTATCACCCGACCAGCGGCATGATCATCATAGGTCATCCGACGCGCAACTCGGTCTACTTTGCTCATCTGTCGGCCCCCAAGTACACCCTCAAGGGCGTGTCTCAGGCCGAGTACATCCAGCGCCTCGTCGCTCAGGACTCGTCGATCCCGCAGCCGGATAGTACCGCCGTGATCAGCGGAGTCCGAGAGTATTCGTTTGCGAACCGCGGTGTTATCCGAAGCCTGGACATTCTATGCAGTCCCGCCATGGCTCAGGACACCGACGAGCCGCCCCTGTTTGAGCTGTACGCGATGCACTCCAAGGGCGTGGCGTGCTTGTTGATCAGGCAGTACGAGCTGGGATGGTCCAAGGACAACAAGGTTCTGGACGCCGTCGATGCCGTCAAGGAGGGTGTTGTGACCGTCTCCAAGCTCAAGTCGCCGCAGCCGCCCGAAGCGGGCAGCGCCCGCGATCACGGACAGATCCGCATCGCGAATCGCGGTGCCGGCAAGGAGCCCCTCTCGCAGTCCACGCCTGCTCAGAGCGACTCAACCCAGCGGCCACCCGAGACGGCCGCGCCCGCCAAGCCCAAGACCGACGTCAAGGAGCTGGAGACGCCGGCGCAGTCGTCCAAGGAGAGCCAGGCCGAAAAGCCTGAGCGCAAGCCTCGCAAGAAGAAGGGTGCGTCGAGCAAGGAGCCAGAGCCCACGGCCAACGGAACGTCCAACCCGCCCCGAGTCGCGCCGACCAGTAGCAAGACCGAGCCTGCCAAGTCTTCGGGCACCGCGGCCACAAACGGCATACCGTCCGGCATGGTCGATGCTGCCATTGCCGGCATGGAAGCACGGCTGACGGCCTCAATGTCCGAGACGCTCAAGTCATCGCTCAGGAACCTGCAGGGCAAGATTGACGAGGGCGCTCGCATCCGTGACAGCAACTTCAACCAGCAGCAGGTCAACCTTCTCAACATGGTGTCCGAGGTTCTCAACGAGAACACTCAAAAGGTGCTCGAGTCCTTGATCCACCATCAGTTTGCGGAGCTCGTCGTCCCTACCATCGGTGAACACGCGGGCAGGGCCGTCAAGGATCTTCTCCAGCACGAGCTGCAGCCGAGCGTTGCTTCCTCGGTCCAGAAGGAGATTCAGAGCATGCTGCCTCACGCGCTCAACCGCTCGCTGCGCTCGGCCGACTTTGTCAACGCCATCTCCGACCGGGTTGGATCCGCGGTCGCTTCGAGCATGCAGCAAGACGTTGTCGCCCCGCTTACGCAGAGGCTGTCGTCGACTTTCTCGACCATGGCCAACCAATCCGCCCAGCGCGTCGCTAACGAGCTTCATCTGAAGCACCAGGAGCAATTTGAGCATATGGAGGCCCAGCATGCTGCCGACGCCAGCAAGATCGACCAGCTCCTGGCACACGTGAGCCAGCTGACGGACACGGTGTCGAGCCTGGCGGCGTCGCAGTCGTCGCTGCAGGCGGAAATTATGAAGCTCAAGCAGCAGCCCGTTCACGAGCTCCCCGGAGCCTCCGGCGTCCCGGCGTCCCAGAGCGGGAGCGGCGCCCCCTACGGCATGAATCCCCCAGGGTACGGCTCCAACACGATGGCCGGCAGCAACCCGCCGAGCCACCACGGCAGCTTCGCCGCTAGCCAGGGCCCTCTCGGCCCGGCACAGCCCTACATGAACAGCCCCCAGTATATGCGCGGTTCTCAGCCCGTGGCTGGCTCCCACGGGACCGCTGGCCCCTCGGAATATGCAGGTCCCACCGGCGTCGGCGCTCTGGCCGGTGCCTTTGCCAACTCGATGAGCAAGAGCGAAGCCGAGGTGAACAACGAACTTATGAAGCGAATCCAGAGGATTGAAAAGGCCATCCAGGAGGGTCGCCTGCAGGAGGCCGTTGTCCAGTGGATCCAGAGCGGCTACGAAAAAGAGATTTTCAGGCGATCCCTCGGGGCCTACCAGCCTAGCCGATTCGACACCCTGTCCCCCATCCTGCTCCTTGTGATTATCGCCACGATCTCCAAGGACCTGAAGCCAAACCAGCTGCTCAAGCAGGAGATTGACTGGATCGAAATGGCCGTGCGAGCCTTTGGAGACAGCTTGCCCAACTGCGTAAGTGACACCCAGCATGAGCATCTTGGCGCAGTCATGTGAGGGCAGCAGGCTAACTTTTCAACAGGACTGGGAGGGAGAGGGCATGGGAGAGGTGATGCAGAGCGCGTCGCAGACCATGAAGCTCCTCGTGAATCGACTGACGCCGCTCTTGGCTAGCTACCGCGACGGCTACCCGCTCGATCCGTTCCTCGCCAAGGTGGACAAGGGCAAGATTGAGTGGATCGTGCGATCGTCGGAGCACATGCTCGAGTCTTTTGGGGGCGCGCACCGCTACGACTAGGCGCCGCAGCCGTCGATCGACGTGGATTGACTTTGATTGTGCCTTGCTGAGCTCGGAGTTGGTGAACAGTGGTTATGTCAGTCGGTTGCACGAGCTGTTCCACCTTGATTCCCCGCGCACTTCTCTGGCGAGTTCTTGTCCTTTGCCTTGCCCTCGGGCCCATGTCTGCGAGGGACGGGGCTCGGAAAGGGAACTTTGTTCTTGTTTGTGCGTTGGATTTCTTTTTTTCTCCTTCGGACTCTCGTTTGGGTTGACGAACGATGCGCCACATCGGTGATGCCTGACGACGCATATCATTCCGCCGGCAGGTCGTCGGTCGTCTTTGATTGACATCTCGGTCTATCGTGACGTGGCGAATCCAAGGGCTGGCCAGCGCAGGAGAGATGGTGTACATCTGCACCCTCGAGGGGCCCGGTGACGAGGGCCGGCGGGTGGCGGCCTGCTTGCCCTCTGCCCGTGGCCTAGCCGGCCCGTTGGTTCTGAAAGAGACGAGGACGTTGCGATGGCGGCTGGCCGGGGGGACGACTGCCGGCGGGGGATGGTGCGACGATGTACGTTTCCATGTCCTTTTACATAGTGTAGACAAATTCATTGAAGGCATATATATACCAGCGCTCCTGGCGGAAGAGCACGACGGAGGTGCTGGTGGCCTGGGGGTCGGCGGCCCCGTAGCCTCTGCTTCCCACCACGTTGGGACGCGGTCCCCGGAGGCGCCAAGCAGCAAATAACGCAAGGCATGCACGATGACCAGTCCTCCCCCCAAGCCACAGGCGCAACGCCCGCGACGACGACGGGCCGCCCCGGCGGGGTGGGTGCCTGTCGCGATCGGTGCGCGCGCTTGACTCGGTTAGCTCAGACGAGGGTTGGGCCTCTCTCCCCCCTTTCTCAGCCTCGGCGGGAACAGGGCCGTTGCTCCGTTCCAACAGACGGCTCCGAGACCGAGACGGCGCGCCTCTCCGCGTACGACGTACTTGCCTGCACCTTAATTACCACGTCGCCTACGCATGTCGCAAATGCCCCTATCACAAGCCTCATGTCCCAGTCCGCGGGAGAAAAGACGCCACGCCGTTCGGGCCTCGAGCACCAAGAGAGGAAGCAGGGGCCAAACAAGCATTTGCATTGCTGTACAAGTCCAGGACTACAAAAACAACAACCTTGCGCCTTCTCCGCTGCCGTCCACTCCGTCACTCGCCTCCCCCGTTTCCGTATAATCACACACGAGGCTTGGCATCGCCAAAGCACTCGTACAGACAAAAACACCGCCGTATTAATTTTTCCCTACATCCACCCCTCCCCTGTTGCACAAAGAGCCTCAACCGTCTGTCCAAGAGAAACAGCCTCGCAAAGCGTGCGAAACGGAGACCGGGGCTGCATCCTCCGGCTTCCCGCCAGTCCGCCAACAGCCCGCGCGGTTCGATTCAAAAAGAAACTGCGAACAATACTCAAGAAATGCTTCCCACCAAACGCCACTCAGGCCCAGCGAGACTTGGTCGCCGGCTCACATTTGCTCGACTGTCGACGACAAGGACGAGCCAAGCGAGATGTGAGCAAAGTACAGTGCTCCTATTTTGTCTTTTTTTTCTGTTCGTTTCGGGTTTCCTCCTCTTGCTGTTGCAACTTGTCGAGGCGGAAGAGAATGTCCCAAATATTGTCGTCAGTCCGACGCAGCCGTTGCCGTCGCTGCCGCGTCCAGATCCGTCCGCTTGGTCGCCGTCGAAGACGTGCAAGGGGAAGAGGTTGTCGGTCGTCATCGTCAACGTCGTATATCTATCTGAGCGCCCAGACAGGAGTATTACGAGTGGGTATAATGCTCGTGCTCATCACCGAGCCGCCTCCTGCCACTGCCGATGCGCATGACAAGGAGTCGTCTGGTGCGGCTGTCTAGACATAGAAGTCGTTAAAAAAACATCGCAATCGTCAGGCAATGATCATGCATCTTATATCGGACGGCGAATTGAACGTGATCCGAGGGGGAGGGGTGCGTGTTCTTATAAGCGGGTCGTCATCTTTCATTAGGTGGTCGCCCATGTGTCGAATAAATGCTGTATCCTGATCCGTGTCCCATCTTCTCGTCGGGTTTGGCGTCATCATCAAAAGTGCTCGAGGTTGAGGAGAGGCCGTCTGGTGCGGCCACCGCCTGTCTCAACCGACCACAGCGTCGTTAAAAAGGTAATTCGAGCTAGCTTGCGTGGGCGCTGCCGGAGCGTAGAGCCAGCGTGCGTATCGTCTCGGAGCGGATTCCTCTTGATTCATAGGCCGTGAAGACGAAGTCCGTGCAAGCAGGTTCCACCGGCCCTCTAGGCTTCCCGGGTTGCCGCGCGATTAGTCCGGGCACACAGCGTATCCCCGGCGGCAACGGGAAACGCACAAGCCACGCGAGGGCTTAATGGTACCTCGAGGCTCCAGTCGAGTTCGGGGCCACGCGGGCGCCGCTATCGGAGGAATCTGGGGCCGGCCATTTTAGCAAGCACGTTTCACTTTCCCGTGTCAAGCTAGTCGACATACCGCTGCCACGCTGCACATGACCATTGGGCCCGACTCGCCCACCAAAGCCGGCGGACGACTCCCACTCGGGACCGCGAGGCTGCCTCTCTGGAACGCTCTTGGAGTTGCCACTTGCTCCGGGCCTCTGGCTCCCAATGGCGCCCGGGGCGTTTCGCGCTTGCGTTTGCATAGTGTTGGGGTCAAAGGGGCTGAGGCTGAGGTTGCCGAGGCCGCTGACGAGGCCGTTGTCGCCCTTTGAGCCGGGCGTGCCGGAGCTTCCCGGCTGGACGTGGCCATGGTAGTCACCGAACCGGGCGGTGGAGCCGGGCCCGATGCTGCTCACGCCGGCCCCGGGGACCAGGTAGCTCGAGGATGCCTGTGACGGACTTGGGGTAAAGGACCGCAGGTCGGCGAAGCTCTTGGCGGCACGCAGGTTGTTGGGGATGCCGCCGCCGTCGGGGCTCCCGGGAAGCTCGAGGGTGGGGCCTTGGCGACCCAGCAAGTGGGCGTAGTTGTTACTGGCAGCGCGGGATTCCCGGTCGGCGGCAAAGTCAAACGTGGCCGCGCGGCTCAGTCCTCGCTTGTGCATGTCCAGGCTGTTGGCGACGGCGGCGTTGTGGACGTTGGCCGTTGGCGAAGGCTGCTGCCGTTTGAGGACCGTGAGCTGACGAGAGTCAGCCTCGCCAATCGATTGGTGCTCCAAGCCCATGTTATGGGCAAGGATATGGATGGACCGCCGATGCTCAGGGGCGATGCTCGGTGGAAAGACGAGGATCTCGCGCGTGTCGTCGCGCTTGAACATGGCCAGCTCCGTGTAGAACTCGAGGTTCTGGGGGTCGTTGAGGTCGACGTCTCCTGTAGGAATCGATTAGAGGCAGTTTGGGCTGCAAGGGGCTCCGTGAGCCGAGGCATACCTAGATGGGCAGTGGGGCCTCTCTGCTGTGTCTGAGAAATGCCGCCAAGCGACTGGATCGAGCTCTGCTGGTGCAGCATGGGCGCGCGATGCTGCTCCTCCAGCTGACCGCGCCTTTCCCTCTTCTCGCGCTCGATGCGCTCTCGCTCCGCCTCGGGCAGCATCTTCTTGTACTCGACACGCAGCTTACGGCCGTGAACGTCCATGCCATTCATGGCGTCGATGACAACCCTCGTGTCCTCGGCTGACTGAAAGTTGGCAAAAGCAAGGCCCCGGAAAACGCCGTTGTCAAAGTGATAGTTGAAGGCGTAGGGCTGGGGGAGATTCATATCGAGCATGATGGACGCCAGCGTCTCCTTGCGCACGGCAAAGGGAATGTTCTTGATGACAATGGCCGTGGGGATGAGCTGGTCGCCGTCAGAGGCGGTTGATCGGAGGTCAGGAGAGGTGTGCGAGGGACCCTGGTCGACACGGAGACCGCCGTTTTGCATGTGGCCTCCGTTGAGGCTGCCCGGGAAGGGCTGCAGGTTGTTTGGCATGGCCAGAGCGCTGTGATCGGTCCAGTTCTAGAGGTCGGGCAGGGTCAGCTTCGGATGGCGTGCATTGCCACGACGGGGTGGACAAACCTGAGGCAGCGCGGCGCGGCGATTTACGCTCCTCTGGCGATTGGACCCGTGCATGGCACCGTTGACGGTTGCGACTCCGGCGGTGCTGTAGTTCCACGTCTGACCATTGTCCAGCATGTAGCCGCCGTGCATTCCGGCGGCGGCGGCCATGCTGTCGAGGGCCCTGGGATTGAAGCCGGCGGGTATCCTCTCGGTGGGATAGAGGGCAGACGAGCTGAGCGGGGCATCAAAGGGACGCTGAGCCTGGCGGGGCAGCGAGAGACCCGAGGCAAAGGCAGCGCCGCCGGCGTAGTTTTGCCTGGAGCTCGGGGAGCGGTTGGCGGGAGAAGAGTAGTCCAGATAGCCTAAATCATGCTGATGTTGTTGACTCATGGTGGTGGAGCGGACGGAGGAGCAGCAGCTGTCGTCACACAGCGGGCCACTCGATCAGTGCTGTTGGGCCAGGTCCGAGGGGAGAGAGGGTGGAAGAATGTCTGCAGAGCTCAGTGAGCGCTTGCCGGGACGGTGTCAACGAGGCGGCCGGGGATGGTCGAGCAAGACACCATGAAATTCAAGCAAGCGTGTCAGGGTAGGGCCGGCAGGCGAGAATGGCGGGCCCAACGGGTTCAAGGAGCCACTTTATCTCGACTAGCGCCGACGCTCGCGAGGGGAGAGAGGGTGGGTAAATGGCAGCGCGTACGACAAGCTGGATGGGAGACGGCGGGCTCGAAAGCGGCAGGACGCTGGTGGTCCTACTGTCGGCGACGGGGAGGATGAAGGGCTTGAGCAAAAGCTAGCAGCGGGGAGGGAAGAAGTCGTGGCTCAGCAGCTCGGTTGGTCGGTCGACAAAAGTGGCGTCGAAGCGACAAGGTGCGTCTGCCAATAGGCGTTGCGCAAAGGGCGGAGGACGGAGGCAAGCGATGCGGCTCCCAAGCACGAGCCGTGCTCTCGTTTTTTTCACGGTCCTTTGATCGTCGTCGTCGTTATCGTAAAAGGAGCACGGCGGCAGCGGCGGCGGCGGCGGCGGGAGAAACGGACAGCGAAAGGGGAGGCGGGCGAAGAGGCGCCGCGAGGAGAGAGGGTCGTGAGGTGATGAGGATGATGGAGATGGGAAGAAGTGCCAATGTGTGTTGCAAAGCAAGGCAGCAGGGTTGGGCGATGGAAGTCGTGGTGGTATGGAAATAATGAAATAATGGAAACTAAAAAAATAAAAAATAAAAATACAAGGTACAACAGAAGGAACCCGTCGAGACGGGATGGGGGGAGGAGCCACCGACGACCACTGTGGTGTGGAGGCCACGGGGCAGGCAGGTTTTTCCCCCTTTCCTTTCCTCCTACTCCTCCTTCTCTCCGCGAGTCTGTGCCCAACCCAGACAGTGCGGAGCTAGCGTCTGGAGACTGTGAGACCCTGCGGAGCTGGAACCTTGATTAGTGCCAGACACGTACCTCAGCACGCGATAGAGCGCGGACGAGTACATGGACAGACGGGCATGCTGCGAGCTATCGTTGCGGCCAAGCGGCGGCGGGAGGGAACCTGGGAGGCGATGCTAGAGGCGATGCTAGTGGAAATCAGGGCCGTGCACGTTGCAGGAGCACAGTTAAGCTGGCTATATCCGTACTCCGTACTTAGTCCTCTTACCTATCGCCAGGACCTGCGTACTAGGTAATTAGTACGCATCCGCCCATGTCGGCGCCTCTCTTTTGCGCATCGCCAATACTTCAATCTCAAGTTGGTAGTGGTAGCATTGAAATCACGCCAACACTGAGTTGCTCTCGTCGGTACTTCAAGCGGATGGTGGCGGATGGGGACCACAGTGCGAGTAGCAAGAAAGGCTTCCTCGAGCCATCCTCCACGGCCATCAGGAAAAAAAAAAGAGACACTCGAGCTTCACTTCCTCCACTCGACTCGGCTCGACCTCGAGGTGACTGAGAATGCCTTTTGTCTTACCGCCATAACTAACCCCCGAGCCGAGGGCACCGCCGCCGCCGCCGCCGCCGCCGCCGCCACCACCACCATGATTTCTCCCTCAAGGTTTGCATCGACAGCCACCACGTTCCCAAATGTCGCCTCTGCCTGCGCTCCAAATGAACAAGGCCCAGAGCCCCCTTTGTGGGTACAGACTGTCGCTCCCGTACCGCACCGACGGACTCCACTCGAGATATGCCGCGTTTGGATCGACAAGGTGTGGCAGCCTGTCAGCCAACGACGGACGCTGCACTAAAAATATTCGTTCATCACACGCGGGCTAATGATCTTTGGAGATGCTGTGCAGGCCAAATCTGAATGGAGAGAGAGATCATCTCGTTTCGACGCCCCTCGGGTCATGATACACACACGCACACAGGGCACGGAAAGGGGCAAGGGGGCAAAGGGGGCTCGTCATTTCACCCCCCCTTCTCAGCCAGTCAATCAGTGAGAGGGAACGGGGTTTACTGTAATGACAATCTTAGACCGGCAGGTAGCTCATGTTCGGTCAATGGCCCCTTTTTGCGCCCATTCCAGACCGCCACGGGGAAGCCACAGCACCTTTCGTGTCGCGAGATGCATCTGGTTCATCAGGCATGGTTAAGCTCATCCATGGGACGCCGCGATGAATCCATGCTGCTGCTCCCTCCCTGTCCGCTGGCCATGTACTTCGTATGCTATTATCCTTGGCTTTTTGTCCCCCTTCCTTTTCCATTTCCATCGAACAGAGTTGCTCTCGCCATGTGTGATAAACCCCCTCTTCACGTCCTGCCCTGACCATGACACGCCTCGTCCGTTTTACGCGGGAAAAGAAACGAGGGCGTCCGTGTAAGCTCGTCACTCTCCTACATCAGCCGCCCAAGCTGCGGCCCGTCCCCCGTTTGCATACCGAATGTGCATGCTAATTACCCTAGTAGTGTATATGTACGGAGTACGCCGAAGCGGCTCCATGTCGCATTTCAGTCACCATTCACACACGCGTGCATCTTGTCTGACTTTTACTCCGTACCAGCAGTCTAACTTACCACCTGGCCGGCAGGGAAGACGCGTGAGGCCTCGAACCGCCATGGACAAATTTCGCGTCTGCCCCCTTGATGTCTCGTCCAATCTGTACTGCCTTTGGTGGTGGTTCTCCCATCTCCTGATGATCCTGTATCGTGACATTGTATCTTCGAGCGCACAAGCTCATACTCGTACAGTGCGTCATTTTACGGCCAGCCTTCATCTCTTTCTGGTCCTGGGGGGCCCTTGGTTCGGCACCGGCCTTGGCTCCGGGGCATAGGTCCCGGGCGCCGGCCTCGCCTGCACCCACAGTAAATCTCCATACAGGCGCTTTGTGCTTTTGTGAAGACTCACCAGATCACCTCATTCCCTCCTTTTTTTTCTATCTGTATCCGTACTTCGTACCATCTCATGCTTGTCCGGCTTCCTCCGACTCGATGACGGGGTCCAATTCTGCAGCGTCTGCGGAACGACGGACCATGATGGATGGCGATGAGAGGCGATGACGGTGGTGACGAAGTGGTCTTTGTTGCTACTGTACGTCGATGCATCACTCCCTATCACCGGCAAGCAAAGGAAGCCCTGATGGGAGCCGCACTGTGTCTGCAAAGTACCGGCGCCTGGTCAGCATCTGGGTATAGTTAGGTTGACGGTAACAGGACATGTTGTCATGCTGCGTTACAACTAAGCGTTGATATCGTGATCTGTATGACTAGACGCATCCTAGTTGCTGCCTAACTTATACCTCTGTATGCGTAGGTGCTCGAGGTAACTGCACAACCCGCATCCAACTCGGGTTACTGGAAGCACACTGGAAACATGCCCACATACTCCGTGCAGTAATTACATGCACGCTCTCGCACATGCACGGCGGAACTACAGTACAGACTAAAGGTAAGTTAGTTGTAGCAGAGGCAGCCAATCCTGTTCCCACCCCGAACCCGTCCTCGTGGTCGCCATCCGGGATGGGATAAGAGGGGGGGACAGCATCACCAGGACACGACTTCATCACCAGACCCTCCCCCTTCCACTCATCATGGGACGACATATATTTCGTCCGGCGCCGTAATATCATCATATCACGTCTATGTACATACTACTTCTAAATGGATACGTACTGCATAGGAAATACTAATACGAGGCCATCTCTCTTTCATCTTTGCTTTTGGGCTCGTCTATGTGCGAGGGAATCACAAAGCACCCAGTCTGACCGACACCATTTGCTCCCCATTTCAGCACAAAGAAAAACGATCCCCCACTCACTAAGCCCCTGGGAGGGCTCCGCTCCCTGGCCCGGCCCGAGAGGTGTCACGTGTCAAAACAGTCAATTATAACAGTCATTTGCAGCATCACCTGCTGAAGTGCACTCTACTCTTGCCTAGCAAAATGACGTGCCAAGAGGGCACCCTCTCGAAGGGAATTTTTGGATGGCGGGGGCGGGGCAGGCAGGCCGGTAGCCCGCTCCGTCCGTATCCGGGGCTAACGCTGCGAGCACTCCAGGGTCATGGATGCTCGCGGTTCAGCCCGTATTGGATAGCCGAAATCGCTGGGCCTTTTTCTCGAATCTCGTCATTTATAATAATCAATTGACGCGCAGGACTCGATAACGATGCTGTTTTGTCGAGTACCGTACTTCCCTTTGTCAATCATCAGCGGGCATTGAGCCGGAGCATTGTTGATCCGCCAGGGACTTGAAGTGCCGGCGCAAGAGACGGCCCGGCCCGGACGCGTTCGACTTTTGTCCGTCCAGCGCCTCACGACCCGACATCGGCGCAACCGTCATCCCCGGCAGCCTCATCTCAGCCAACCTCGCCTCGACTGAAAGCGTCACTCCTTGCTTCCTGGACCTGCTCTGCCCTGCCCTCTGTCCCTCGTCTCCTGCGGCGCCCCATCGGCTGTCAATTGCGTGAGCCAACAACACGCATAAAAAGACCCAAGACTTGAAGACCGCCCCTGCCGCCCACCATGTCCGCCTTTGGGCACTTCTTCCGGGTCACCACGTACGCAATCCCGTTCCCCTTCTCCGTGCCCATCCAACTAACGTGAGAAACCGCCCAGCGCCGGCGAGTCCCACGGCAAATCCGTCTCCTGCATCATCGAAAACTGCCCCCCCGGCCTCTCCCTCGCCGCGTCGGACATCCAGCCGCAGCTCAACCGCCGCCGCCCCGGCCAATCCGCCATCACCACGCCGCGCGATGAAAAGGACCTCGTCACTGTCCACAGCGGCGTCGAGGCCGGCCGCACCCTCGGCACCCCGATCCTCCTCACCGTCCCCAACGAGGACCAGCGGCCCCGCGACTACGGCAACGACACCATGGACCTGTACCCGCGCCCCAGCCACGCCGACTGGACCTACCTGGAAAAGTACGGCGTCAAGGCGAGCTCGGGCGGCGGGCGCAGCTCGGCGCGCGAGACGATTGCGCGTGTTGCCGCCGGCGCCGTCGCGGACAAGTGGCTGCGGGAGGCCTACGGCATTGAAATCGTCGCCTTCGTCTCCTCGGTCGGCGCCATGAAGCTCTTCCCCGACGATGGCCCCGACGACCCCGCCTTTCTCTCCCTCGTCCAGTCCGTCACCCGCCAGCGCGTCGACGAGTTCCTGCCCGTGCGCTGCCCCGATGCCGACGCCTCGCGCCGCATGGAGCAGCGCATCGCCGAGCTGCGCGACCGCCACGACAGCACCGGCGGCACCGTCACCTGCGTCGTCCGCAACGCGCCCCCAGGCCTCGGCGAGCCCTGCTTCGACAAGCTCGAGGCCGTCCTCGCCCACGCCATGCTCTCCATCCCCGCCGTCAAGGCCTTCGAGGTCGGCTCCGGCTTCCGCGGCGCCGAGATGACTGGCAGCCGCCACAACGACGCCTTTGTCGCTGCCGTCCACGACGACGAGCAGGCCTCGTCTTCCTCGGCGGCCGCCATCCCCCGCTCGCGCCTCGTCACCCGCACAAACAACTCGGGCGGCATCCAGGGCGGCATCTCAAACGGCATGCCCATCTACTTCCGCGTCGCCTTCAAGCCCCCCGCCACCATCAGCCAGGACCAGACCACGGCCCGCTACGATGCCGCCGGCCAAGGCGTCCTCGCCGCAAAGGGCCGCCACGACCCCTGCGTCGTGCCCCGCGCCGTCCCCATTGTCGAGGCCATGGCCGCCCTCGCCGTTGCCGATGCCCTCATGGCCCAGCACGCCCGCCACGTCGGCCGCCAGATGGCTGCTGCCCCTGGCGCCCAGGGCTGATGGGCTCTTGATCAAATCACATGCATTGCTTCCCTTTTGGGCTCGGAGCCTTGTGCGAGGAATATCGGTGTTTCGTTTCTTCTCGGGTTCTTTTTCCTGTCTCTTTCGCAAAGGGGTTGTTTGACGACGCCGTTTAGAAAGTATCGCCGCTGGCGCGCAAAAAAAACCCCGAGTCCAACGCCCTCCATGCTCTATCCCGTATGCATCTGGGCAGCAAGCTAGTAGTGGAAATGCTTATGCCAATCAAATCTGTCGCCTGCCCAGCTTGCGTCCCCTCCCGGCGGGTCAAGCCCATGTCACATCCGTCGTATGTCTCCCGCCCCCCTTCTTTTTTTTCTCAGCTGCTCGCTATCCGTATAGTTACCGCCTTCTTGACGGCGTTTCGGGGAGGACAAGAAAAGGTGCTTGACTCAAATCAGAGCGCCGGTGTGAATATACCACACACCCGCGGTCGCTGAGAGTGTCTGTGTAAATTATTGACGATACAAATAGCTACATGCTTCGTTGGATATGCAGCAAGAGATCCAGGAACCCGCCCCCAGCCGGTTGGCCACGTCGACGCCCCAATCCGAGCGAGCACGTATGATCTATTTACTGTTGTACAATACATAGGTGGGCTATTTTCCCTCATCGCCATCAAGCAAGGGGCAGTAGCACACAGACGCAGCACGACGGATGGCTCCGTACCGCCGCATGCACGCTGCATGTCGATATGCTGTGCGTCGCAGAAGCGTGTAAGTTGCTGTACATATTCCGTCTAATAATGTACATATATGTAGGGTGAGGTATCCGTACCTTGTTTTACCTACGAGATGAGCACTGCGCATTCCGACTACACTGTGTCTGTAATTACCGCCCCGGCAAAAGGGGAACCCCAGCATCGCCCTCTGCGTCCTGCGGACCATGGATCTGATATCTCCTCTCTCCACATCTTCCCTCCCGGCCTCCTGCGCTCGGCAGACCTCAGGCCTGTCCTTCTCCCGTTGGTTGGTCCACTGATTCACGGCCTCCTACGGGGTGAATTCTGCACCCCCCCCCCCCGGGCAGCCGCCCCATTCTCCTGTTCGTGGCAACGTTCCAGAACGTACCCCCGGCTCGGATCGACCCTTCAATGCTCCCTTTTTCACAGTGCGCATGGGGCATGTAATTAATATGTCCCGGCGCTTCCATATAGATGCGCCGTCACGGCGGGTCCCGCAGGGTTGGGTCGCCGGGACTGCCCAGCGCTTGCCGGGGGCTCACCGTTGACAATTAGACGGGCACGCGGGACGTGATATAGCTAGGCTTTCTCCAGGAAATGGCAGTGAATCATCCCTTTTCGCGAGAGAAGGCGGTGAGCTTTTATATTGTTCTTTTCGCTTTCTTTGCGATTCCTGGCAAGAGACCGCCGGGTGAGCAAGTAAGGAGCAGCCACCCGGAACTCCAACCTCGCAGCAACGTGTGATTCCGTCTCCCCATTATCAAACGCACCAATGAATTCGAACTTGTCGCTTGAACGCTTTAAACTCCGAAGCCTTCGATTATTTCCTCACTCGGATCGTAATATTGCTAATATCAAAAGCATGAAACACGAGCCGTGGAGGATATAAAATTAGAAGTATCTCTCTCCTTGTAATTTGAGCTCGCCGAGCCTACCAATGCAAGGTCAGGGCACCTTGCTTCCGAGTCCGGGCTTGTTGATCGGGATATCCACCGTCAGGCCCTCGCTCGCTGATTCACTTCCTAAACCTACTACGAGATGCAGCTTCAGGACTTGGCAGCCGCTGCTATGCCGCTGGGTGTGGATATCGCCCAGCTCGATGCGCTGGGGGCGCCGCAGGTGTTGGCAAAATTGTGGCGCCTCGCAGTTGGCTAGAGTGGCGTCGAAATGCAGAGAGAACAAGGTGTCAAGATCACGCCGTGTGTCGACGCCCGCCACCTCGAGCTCCGCGCCGCAAGCGGGCCGGTTCACGGGGTTCTCGGCGGTAAAGGGCACGCCGGCCGGCCATTGAACCTCTTGAGTCGTGCGCCGGGCTAGGGCGTCCGGGGTCGCTTCGACGCGGAAGCGGCGTTGTTGCGTGTGAGGCCTGTGTCTGCGCGGTGCATCGTGTTGGTATGGGCCAGCGACTATTCGCTGCGCCATGGCGAACTGAGGCCCGCCTTGCGCCGTCCAGAACAAGTCTGGCGGAAGCATGCTATCGTGAGCAGCGAGCTGCGTGCCCATGTTTCGGAGGAGCGTCAGGGCCGAGGGAATGATGCCCGGGACGCGCCCGTCGTAGTTGCGAAACTCCTTGGTGAGGACCTCGTGATGCGCGAGGCCCAACTCGTTGCATACCATGGCTTTGATGATTCTTCTGACGGCCATGAGCCCTCCATAGGCAAGCTTGCACCCGTCAGGGAGCCAGTCGCGAAGACACAAGTCGCTGGGCTCGATTTCCACACCAGGATCCGCGGCTGTGATTACTACGTCTGCCCTCCGGACTGTGACATCGTCGACAGACATGGTGCCGCCCACTTGGTCGCGAAGGACAAACATTAGCCAAGCGATGGATATGAGCCCCGAGTCCTTGGCGCTGGTCTGCCTGGTGGCGGTGGGGACAAAGTACTGAAAGTCCCACGGCAAATGCAACCAGTTCCAGAAGCGAACCCAGAGGTGCACGCAGGCCTCGATGCGCTCGCTCCGGCGCGGGCCGTCGCCGCTGTCGAATATGTACAAGTGCCCCTGGCAACGATCAAAGATGGTCATGCTCCACTGCTCCTCTCCACACAGGACGGGGGCCACGACCCATCGCCGGCCGTACATGCGGGATTGGTAGTATTGCTCGTCGGAGCCCGGCTCCTGAAACTCGCCCACCTTCATGCGCATGCTGAAGTCGGGTCTCCATTCCTCGGCTAACTTGTCATCGCCGCAAGGGCCGGGAATGTGCCAGGGATAAAGCCAGGCCATGGACTCGAACATGCCGTATGATGTGGTTCGTAGCAGGGCAAACATTTCGAGCTCGGCGAGGGGGATTTGGTTCGAGATGGAGCAGTGCAGGATATCGTGCATAAAGGCGACGTGGGCCAGCCACGGCGTTTCGTCGTAGAGTCCGCTCGCGAACGACGGCATAGGGGCCAAGCAAGAATAGATGGAGGTCACCCTGTCGCGCAGGTCCTCAACCTCAGACCGAACAGTCCAGTCTATGCCGGTCCCCAGCGCCGACGTATGTCGTCCAAGTATCTGGGCCACGTGGCCATCGGGCCATTGGATGCGAGGCAGAAACTGCGGCAGCTGTCCATGATCGAAGGTGGTCTCGTTGTTGCCCGTGAAAGAGCCACTGCCGCGAAGACTCACGCGGCCAATCTGAGCTGGGAGCGGGCCGAAGGCGGCACCGGATTGTTTGAAAAGCATCTCGTTGAGTCGCCGTCCTCAAAGCCACGAGGCGGGTGGCGGTGATGCATTGAATGGGCATGGTCGAGTGTTACACGAGTACGGCGAGACCTATGAATATATGTTTCGTGAATGACGGGTGTTGGCAGACATTCCTGGGATCAACGAGGCATTGCTCGCAGCCGTCTTTGTGTCGATGCACGTCCATTGTGCTCGGCAAGGAAGCCCTTTGTCTGAATCTCGGTGCCAGGTCAAGGGCGCATCCAGAGGCTTTGACGGAGCGAGTAGAGGCCACAACCGGGAGATGGCTTGGCGAACAAAGCCTTCGGAAGAGATGCCCAGCAATTAGTCGATAGGCAACGAACGAACACCACCTTGGCGGAGAGGTGAGAAATCGGCGGGTGCAGTTGCAGGCGCTTCTTTGCGACCGTGTACCTTGAGCCTTGTGCTTTGAGCGAAGAGCAGGAGAAGATTCGAGCAGGGTTTATTTCTGGCCGAAAGGTTAATGCTGCAAAGGACGATGGACATGAAGTCATCCCCTTGGCAGTGCGACAGAGTTCCCCTTACCTCAGCAAGGAATACGGCAAGCCACATGCGCCCTCGGCGCAGCCACAGCGGGTCAACAGCAGCTCCGGCCTGGGCCACCAATCACGAGGCCTGGAAGCTCGCTCTTTTTGATGGAGCTGATCAACGACAAGGCAAACATCCACAAGCCTCCGAGAGATACAGGACTGGCAGCTCGCCTCGCCCAGCATCAAGTCAAGACCACCAGCCGTCGACGCAGATGCTGCCACCCATCTCTCATCCTGCAAGGTAACGCCCCCGAGACTCTTGCCAGCAATGACGCAAGCAGTAGCCTGTGTTGCCGCATGCGACCGCTCTCCTCCCGCCTTCTCGAGGCAATGACGAAGCAATGCGCAGCAACGAGCCGGCATCGCCCAGGTCTGTCCCCATCAGCTCTATCAGACTCTTCATAATCGTCAACCCCCTCTGGAGACCACTTATGACGATCCCCGCTGCTTTGTGGTCTCTATTCGACCCGAGCCGACCGACGCCCTCTCCCCCGTGCCGGCCAAGCCCAGTGTTCCGCATCGGGAAAACCTCGGCCGCCAGACCCGCTCCTGAGTCACAGCCGGGATGCAGATTTTTCCGGCTAAGCAGGTGGCCGCCGCCTGAAAGCGCCGAAACTTTGGCAGCCGTGGGCGCTGTGGAAACAGAGGCTTCAGCGGTCGCACACATGCAGCCCAGCCACCCCAGGCCACTGGAGAGCCAGCGAACAGGAGCGCGAGCCAACGCCGCTCACTGTACATCGCCAGAACAACAACTTTTGATGCATCTCACCTCCTCTCCACGCTAAATTTCTGCCGCTCCCACACCATCCGCCACCACCCCGACGCATCGTACTGCATCCACCATCAACTTTGACTGCTTGCCAACGCGTTTTACCCTCCGGCATTGTCTCCGACACCGATCCGTCCATTTTTCGCCCCGAATTTTCCTGCTTCGCGTCCCCTCGCCCGTCTCCAACCGATATTCAAGATGCCCGGCGGCAAAGGAAAGTCATCCGGTGGTAAGAGCTCCGGAGGCAAGACGAGCGCCGAGGGCCACAACAAGAAGCAGCAGAGCCACTCAGCACGCGCTGGACTGCAGGTTAGACGACCCTCTGCCTTGGCTTTTTTCTTTGCAAATTTCATCTCGTCGTTTGTCTGCCGCCGCGTTCAAGGAATCAAGAGGCCATGCCCCGCGATGCTACGCCCCTTGTCGCGCATTTTCGACGCGTCACCAACTCCTCCCTTCGCCGCATTGTGGCCCCGGCGGCGGACAAGCGAACTGCGTGTCGTTTTAGCAACGGCGGTCTCTAGCCTGCGCGACTAGCATGCAAGTTCGGCTCTCGCCATGGCAGGCTTGCCAGCGTGCTTGCGCCACGTCATCGTTGAAGACTCGGCTTCTCGATGTGCGCAAACGATGCCCTGACCCATGGTTCCATCAGCTTCCGTCACTCGCTAAAGACATGGATCTGATCGTGCTGACTGACTATCCAAACCAGTTCCCCTGCGGTCGCGTCAAGCGCTTCCTCAAGCAAAATACCCAGAACAAGATGCGCGTCGGAGCAAAGGCGGCAGTCTACGTTACCGCTGTGCTGGAGTACCTGACCGCAGAAGTCCTCGAGCTGGCAGGTGTACGTGGTTCCACCAGACACCCCCCTTTCTGCGATATGAGTCAACGCTCCGTCGCCACCCTCCCCCATACTGACCTGCTTTCCCCTTTACAGAATGCTGCCAAGGACCTCAAGGTCAAGCGCATCACCCCCCGTCACCTTCAACTTGCTATCCGAGGCGACGAAGAGCTCGATACGCTCATCCGCGCGACGATTGCTTTCGGCGGTGTCTTGCCGCACATCAACCGCGCACTGCTACTCAAAGTTGAACAGAAAAAGAAGGCCAAGGCCCTCGAGGCATGAGCTCCCTCCTTACACGTCACGCGTTCGATCGTTGCCGTTTCGCTTTTTACGGTCTCGGGCTGCATGGTGCCGTTTGCGCACAGAAAGGGAATTGTTGGGTTTGCGTGTTGCTTTCCAGAGGAGGCGTCAGTTTACCACCGGGCAATCCCACCAAAAGACTAGCAAGGAAGACATGGGAGGAGGAGGAAACTCGGTCGGTGTTGAATAATTGCGCGATTTGATCCGGCGGGGACGCCCGCGCACCGGGCAAAAGCAACCAGGCGTCGAAACCTCACAAGCACTCTCCCGACCGGCTCTGCCCTCGCGCGCCATGTACAACAAAAGGGATGATAGGGTTCAGGCACGGAAGACGAAGAATTGGTGATGGCCATTTGATACACTGGGATACAGGCAGACGAGGAGATAGGGACTGCAATTCATGCGCGCGCCACCCTACCAACTGGTTCCTTTCCTTCTGCTCGGCAGTGCATGCACCGGTGGATGCATCCACGCCAAATTTTGATCCTTTTCGTATGAAGCTGTCGCGCCCGCCGCAGCCTATGGGCCTTTTTCTGCCAGCGGTGGCGAAAGGCATGAGTGGTCCGGGCCGAGGGTTTTTTCGAGGCGAAGGGAAGCATGCTGGATGTGAATGAGTTACACTCGTTATCAAAGTCATCCTTACGAAGCTTCCAGTGACTTGTGGTAAGGCTCTTGGAACGCCGAGTCAGTAGACAGCAACTCGGCCGAGCTGCCACACTCTTGCGCAGATGCCTCCTTTATTATGACGGCCGAGACAAAGTCGAGGGCGCCACGGAACTGGTGCGCGACGGCGATGACTGCGCGGCCTGATGAGTCTTTCCATTCGCCCCTCTGTCTTGGCATCGACGCTGGAGAGTAAGAAGCGCGTTTAGCTGTCGTTCGTGGTGTCTAGTAAGTGGCAATAAGTGAATGGGGAGCCCACCTTTGGCACGTCGTCCATGTTGGCTGCGTCTGAGAAATCCCGGGCTAAAGCGCACCGTCAAGGGTAGAAAGGCACGCGTCTCGCGACAGGACGACGATCTGGGGCCGCAGAGCTTGGCACGGGATTGGTTGCAGTCGAGGCCGTCGATGGTGATGGAGCCGGATCACAATGGGACAAGGCGCAGCAGGACGGCGATCGCGGTACTCTTGCCACGGCGGACATGGCGTTGCATCTTGGCCACTGACGGAATGAGGTTGACGCGTGTCAGAGTGCTTTTCCGTCCTGCTTTCCCGTCCTGTCCTGCCGTAGGTGACCACTTTGGCGCCGGCAAGGACGGATATGGAAACGTTTCGGAGCACGTCTGGCGCGGGCCTTGGCGGTTGATCCCGTCTACCAGCTTCCAACTATACACTCGCTGTACGAGGCTGATATTTGCTAGATCCAAGGCGGATCGACGGGTCCTTGTCGCCGGCATCCTCCGACTCGACCTCGTCGGCGTTTGGCGTTAGATGACGCCGCGTGTAAGGCATGCTGCTCGTGCAGAGATGCAGGTTGCTTACTTGGCAGTTGTCCTGTGGAGAAAAGCGTTGGTTATGACTTGGGAGAGGAAATAAAATGGAATGAGACTCGAAGGAAAGAAAGATCGTTGAAACTTACAAACAAAATAGGCATGTCGAGGCCAGAGACGCCATCTGGAAGCTAAAATACACGCCGACTACCGTCGTAGGCGTGGTGGGTGAGGCTTGAGGATGCCATCATTTGCTCGGGCAACTGTCGTTATGGACGAAGTCTTTCATAACAGGGAGAGTGCCGTAAAAGGTCGAGAAGAACTCTATCAACACGCCGTGTACATATGTATATATTCTGCAAAAGGTATTAGTGCTTCCGCAAGCTTGAAGGAACAGCCTATTCTAACTATCAATTCGCACTCACCTAGGGTAGTGGCATATGGTAAACCGATTTTCCCGAAGCACCTCGTTCGCCCGCAGGGTCCGGATGCGGTCCGAGAGGCGTTTTTGCCATGCCCGTCGACATAGCCACCTCGAATAGGCCCAAGAAGTCACCAGTCAATCCTAGAACGTGTGTGTCGATATTAATCAACTCTTAGGTGTCTTTAATATCGAGGCACACGAACCGATGCAGGTGGAAACATCCGGACACCCACAGAGAAGCGACAGCGGCACCGAGACCGGGACTCCGGGGTGAGAGCGGATCTCGTTGATTTGGCCCAAGTTTGGTCATTGGCCAAGCTGCGTAACTTATGCACCCACCCACTCTGAGCCGGAGGACTTCTTGATAATCGTGCCAACGCCCAACGTCTTGTTGTCAAATGTCAATATGCTGACTCGGCCCACAGCCCTGCGCTCTATTCAGCGGCTGACCGGCAACGCGATTACGTGCCTATCTCCTCCCTATCTCCTCCCTCCCCTTTGAGCATCGGCTCTGCCTCCTTGACCTTGACAGTACAAAACAGTTCGTGCAGCATCGGGCATCGGATGGCCTGGACTCGACCCTCTCTTCCCGGTCACCCAAAGCCATGGAGCCGCCATGTCGCAACAACAGTATCGAGGAAGAGGCCTCTCCGCTCCTGTCCGGCCACCAACGAATCCAAAACGGCTGCCCCGCCGAAGAAAACGAAGCCAACCGAGGCTCGCTTCCGAGGGTTTTCCACAGGGTGACGGTGCTGCTGACGGCCGTCCTCTTCGTCATAACCATGGGAAGCGGCCTCCTCGCCATCCCAACGCTCCGTGTCCTTGAGGACATCATCTGCCAGCGCCAGCTTCGCGTCGGCGCATTGAGCGGCCATGTCGGCGAGAATGAGTGCAAGGGCGACGCTGTCCAGGCAGAGCTGTCCTTTGTTGTCGGGATCCAGTCCATGGTGGAGGCTATTCCGAGTATGCCGACCAATGCGCCGTTTCTTATCCCGAGGCTAATTCATCGTCTTTACAGGCCTTTTTCTCGCAGTTCCATACGGACTCCTTGCCGATAGGTCAGCTTGTGTGCTTTGATTCTCCACTTCTGAACCCTTCAGTCGCCACGGCCGGGCCCGGCACTGATCGTGATGGATGCTCTACAGAATTGGCCGCCGACCAGTCCTTGCCCTGTCTATCGCGGGCATGAACATTGCCCTAGTGTGGATGATGATGGCCATGCGACTGGGCAACATTCTTCCCATCTGGACCATCTGGACATCTGCTGCCTGGCAGATTGTCGGCGGCGGGAGCAGCGTCATGATCTCCATGGTTTATTCCATGATTGCAGATGTCGAGACGGCTGACACTCGGTAGGTGTAATGCGTCCAGCATGTCCGACTCCTTGCCCATCCAGTTCTCGACGCGTAGCCTAACGCTCTGATCTCTCCAGGGCCAACGCGTTCTACATGGTCATTGTCGGCGGTCTCTTCGCCAACCTGATAGCCGTGCCTGTCTCGGCGCAGCTGATGCAGCACTCTCCTTGGATACCCCTTCTGGGTGGCCTTGGTCTGGTCGTCGCCGGCTGTGCAGGCGTTGCCTTTGTGCCCGAGACGCTCCGCGCAGCCAAGAACCCTTGTTCGATTCCCGATGAATGCGATGGCGAGACAGATAGGAGCCATGGGTCCTTCATAGGCGGCGTCAAGCGGCACCTGTCCCGGACCATGGCGGAGCTCAGGAGCTCAACCGCCATGCTGCGCTCCGGCGCCATCGTCGCCCTCGTCTTCACCTTTTGCGTTCAGGGCTTCACCGAAAGTGCTGCTAGCTTTACCGTCCAATACCTAAGCAAGCGGTTCCACTGGCCGCTGTCGCGTGCCGGAATGCTCTTCTCGGTCGGGACCTTGATCAACATCTTACTCCATCTCGTCATTCTCCCTGGATGCTCGTGGATTATGGTTTCGCCACGTTTCATGTTCAGATGTCGTCCGGAGACCAAAGACGTCATGCTCGCACGATCATCGGCACTGCTTCTAGTTCTCGGATCGTTCCTGCTGGCGTGGCCATCTCTACCCGCCGTGGTCTCTGGTCTAGTCATCTTCACCTTGGGCTCAGGCTTCCAGTCCCTCTGCAGAGCTCTCGTCACAACTCTCATCGACTCGGAGCACACGGCACGGCTCTACACGCTCATCGGCGTGGTCCTGGCCTTCAGCTCACTCGCTTCAGGCCCGGTCATTGCGTGGCTGTTTAGCAAAGGCTTGCAACTGGGGGGATACTGGATTGGCCTGCCGTATTTTGGCGTCACTCTTCTCTGCTGCATCGCCGCTCTGGCAGTCTTTGTTGCACGCCTGCCGCCGCTCCCAGCGGTCGCAGAGTGACTCCGATCACACCCTCGACTTTGGCATAACAGCAATAAAATATGCCTGTATATATATTCAGACTTCAGTCATTTTCACGAGCGGTATGCGGGAAACAAATACGGACATCACCTGAAAGGCGGACAAAGTCATTGGAGAATCAATTAGAAACTTTTAATGATATACCATGGGGCATTGCGAGGTCCAAGACCCTCTCATCGACCCAGACAGGGCTTTGGAAAACTAGATACTCTCCCTACGAAGCCAACCTGGTCGGCCTCAAGCACTCTGGTCATCGCCCGTGATAGATGCTTGGCGACGGGAGCCTCGGGCCATTTCCTTTGCCGCCGCCGCCGCCGCAAGCTTGTCCGGTTCCAGGGTCTCGAGGCACTGGGTTTGCCCAGGCCCATACATGTATGCCATGGCTCCGTGTCGCTCCGGGCCAGTTCCTCAGCGGAGCTTCTGAACGATTTCCCGAGCAGGTATTCTTTGCTGCGGGTCTGCATGCAGCATTTCTTCAACCACAGACTCGATGCCGACCTGCGATAGCTGGTCCCCCACCCTTCTGACCTTTTCGAGCCACGCCTTCATCAGTTGTCTGTGGGAGTCATATCCAAAGACTTTCGCAATGATCCACCCCCGCTGCGTCGCATCGGGTAGCGGGATCTTTCCCAAGAGGTACAAGAGAGTTACGCCCAAGGCAAACACGTCGCTCCCCGGCTCTCGTTTCCTCTCGTCGAGGAACTCGGGGGCAATATACCAAGGGGTTCCGCCGAGGCAAAGGGTATCAGTGGGAGTAGAGGCCAGGCCAAAGTCGATAAGGATCGCACCTCTATCCTGCTCATAGAGGATATTCGACGGCTTGATGTCATTATGAATGATGCCCTTTCCCTCAAGATACGCCAGTGCCGAGGCCATGTCGCCCAGCACGCGCCTGGCATCATCAGTCGAGCCGGCAAACAAGTGACCTGGTACGCGATTTATCGATGCCGCGAGGTCGGGGTAAGGCAGATACTCCATATAGATAGAGGCGAGGCGAGCGTCCGACCCGAATATTTTGATGATTGAGGGCTAGAATGATAACGTCTTAGTCGAGGCGATTAAGCGGAACGAAGTGTTGGCGTATCCTACGTGATTTACTTCCCGCATGAGGCGCTCCTCGCTCTGCCACATCTGCGCTATCTTCGGGATCGATAGAGACGGCGGATCTTTCAGGCTCCGGATCACCTTGACTGCAGTATGGCCGAAGACGGGATGGCTTGCACGAAAGACGGACGAAAAGTCTTTGGTGGCGGCAATGTCGCGAAGATGCGACAGCGAGTAGTTCTCAGAAGAGTGCCGCACGACGTCCAGAGATCTGTCTTCAGTTTCTGCCTTGGGGCTGTCCTCGACAAGTGATCTGATGGTCACGGTTTCCCCGGGCTGAAAATCGACCAAAGGGTGGCCGTCAGTGACAACAGCCATCTTGCTCTAGTCGACGAGGTAAGCTGAGTTGAATATGCAAGCACGCAGGTAACGACCTAAGTAATGAGCAGGGCAGGGACAAGATACCTCTGATGGGTTGGCGAACAAAACTACGCTGCGGTCGCCCTCACTCGCATCGTTGCGGACACGCTTCGGCGCGCCAGCGAGTAGGGTAACATTTTTCCTCTTGAGACCAGCTTCTCCGGTAGGCGGCTTGCTCTTCTCCGCTATGAAGCGTCGGCGGAACAGGAGGATATCTGCCCATGCCTCGGCTGCCTCCTCTTCTGGCGACGAGATTCTCCATGGGCCGGGAGAGATGACGCAGGCGGCACGGGGGCCCAGCACTTTCCGCTTACCGTGGTCGAGCTTGTTGTCACTCAGGATCGGGACAGCGTGTATGAGGACTGCGCCGAGGTTCTTTAGGACGAGGCAGTCGCTGCTGGCGTCGTAATAGAAATCGCAATGGACCACTTGCCACGCAAGCGAGAACCATGCCTCCTTTGACGATTGCGTGACGCAGAGAATTTGGCCGGGGCTGTTGGGCAACTGAAACGGCACGACGGCCTCGTCGTCTTGGGAAGGCCGAATCAGGACATGAGGAGCAGAGAGGATGGCTCGAACGTCGAGAGACAGAGCATCAAGAGGCAGATCCTGGATCGCGGCGGGACTGCCCAGTGGCTCAAGGCGGCCCGGGGAGGCGACGAGGTCACGCACAGCCTGGTTAGAGCCAGATGCTCTAGAAGCAGCAGCAGCACGTGCTTCGACGCCGTTTGGGGCTTGAGCTTTTGCCGGAGGTTGACCCTTCTCCAGAGCCGCGAGGCGAGCCTCGAGATAGTCTGTGGGATGAGGATTGGTCGAGGACTCACCCTTTTCCAGAGCTGCGAGGCGTGCCTCGAGATAGTCTCCTGGATGAGGACTGGTCGAGGATTCGAGCTTATCCACTTCTTTAAGAGGAGGGCTTTTCTGATTCGGGCCTGGTGGGCTGGTCGACATGGTGATGTGTTAGTCGCTGGACGAGGTGAAGACGAGTTGAAGGACTTGGTGTGTCGACGGATGCTCTTGGTGCAAGAAAGCGGAAGACCGCGTTTGCACTGCTCATGACTGTTATAATTTATAAATATGCTCGGGAAAGAGGCTGTGAAACGGGACATGAATCGAAATTGGCGCTCAAGCCACTCTTCACGGCAAACCGCCAACCAACAGCTCACTTGTGCATACGCGCCGGTTTCAAACGTGCACGACGACTGCCAGCTTACTGGCTGCGCCTCGGAGTCATCTCCAGGCTGCAATCTATGCATACTACGTCTTAATGTGTCCAGTACTGTTCTTTCATCGTTCCGTCGGCACATGACTGACGCTCTATCACATGAACAACGAATACGAACTGAACGTGCTTCCCGGGCCCTTTGTCTTCAATCCATTGATTGACATCTCGGCTTGCATTTATATATACTCGATGTCCTTTGAAGTCTTGGGCCTGGACCATTTCAACGTGCGTTTGTATTAGAAGCGAGATTGCATACAAAGTATAGGAAAAAAAAGGAACAAAGAAAAACTCTCTGCCCGTCTTTATTTTATTATTCAACGGGCCGCGACGGGCCGCGACGGGGCTAATGCGTAATTAGTACGAACTACGAATGCGGTCCGTGTGGGGGTGGAGGACTGGGACGCGTGCACGTGACGTCAAGCTCATCTCTCCATGTCGTGACAGCTTCAACTCCCTCTCCTCCCACACCTTCTAGCAGCCACACCGCCGCAACTGCAACAGCCAAAATGCCTTGGAGACAAGCCCCTGTCGTCGACTTTGAACAGCAGCCCGAGTACCAGTGGCCGTTCTGGAATGTCGGCTGTCGCGAAGCGGACCTGTTCGGCGAGCTGCACCAGCGCTTCAACGAGGTCCCGAATCCCACCTTCATTCAGGACCCGGACGCCTTCCATGCCGATGTCTTTGAGCTTGCACGCGACTCTGCCAACAAGGACGAATTCATTGCCCGCCTGCAAGAGAGGAGAGACCTACGGCTCAAGGAACTCGACGATTTTCGCAGGAAGATCTATATCCTTCTCCGCAGCGGCTTCACCAGCCTGGACGATAACCAGGTGTGCCGCTTGATGCATATGAACCTCTTTGCAACTCTCGACTCAATTGTTGCTTTGTACGCGTCTCTTCTTGCGCCAAATGAATATGGCGAGCAGCCGTCGTTGGGTTCGTAATTCTCCCCTCGTCCGGTAATTATTTTCTAAAGCCAGCTTAAGATGAATTCCTGCCATCCGACGAACGGCGCCGTCGCCGAGAGAACCGTCTCCAGGCTTGTGACCCCCAGTCCAAGCCCGCGCCTTCTCCTGCCGACGCGACGGATCCTGCCAGCACCAGCCAATCCAAGATGCCGACCCCCCCCCACCTATGTACGCCTTCTCCAGCACAATCTGAGCCGGCTGCTCCATCGTCACCCTCTGGCGTTGATCAGGGGCAGCCAGCCCAAGGCAACGGGAAGCGCAAGGCCTCAGAGTGTAGTGCCGATGACGACCAAGGGCACCGTGAAAAGCGCCAGCGAAGCGATGCCGACAAGCCACCAGAGACATCGCCAACACAAATGGCCACAGTGGATGGAGATACGGGGCTTGCTTCCGTCATGGATGCTACTGTTGGAGCGGCAAGCAACGACCAAAGCACCATCATTCATCAAATCCCCCATGACGAGCCTAATGTACCCGAGGCGGCGACGACGACGACGAGACTCGCCAACAATCGCAGACCACAGAAACGGTCTGCGGCCACAAAGAAGACAAAGAAACAAAAACCCGGCCCCAGAGCTTCTGCACGAAAGACGAAGGCTGCCGGAGTAGTTTCTGACCTGGCGGTGCCCAAGCACGTTGCGGCTGGACGCGGATGCCTGCCAGACGCCTGCTCCGCGCCCAGGAGGAGCAAGCGAATAGCTGCCAGACAAGGCTATTCACAAAAAGAGACCCGTTGACCTGGATGACCGAGCTTCAAAATCAGATGTGCTGCTTAGGCACTAAGCGGCGGACGCTTACGAGTATGCATGACGAAAGGGGTTTGAATGTCGAGCGTCGAATTGCGGTATGTATTGGGATGCAACTTTAAAGTGAAGGAGCGCACTTTGAGTTGAGGTGTTTCTCGCCCCCTGAATCCATTTGAGGGGTTTATTGAACAAAGGCATTGATGTATTCGCCTCATTTCTCTGGAGTCTACGTACGGCTGAATATCAATCTGCGGGGAAGGGAATGTGGTATAGTTATACAGGAAAGCTACTCTCATTCCTCGTTACTTCTCTTCTTAGATGGAATCTGACTCTTCCTTGTCACCAACTCTGCGAGCGCTGCCACTGATTTTCCACCCGTAATCTCAAAGACAGACATATTTGCCGCAAAGTTCTTGGCAATCCAGTTGCGTAGTTCCACCGCTACCAGCGAGTCTACGCCGTAGTTATGGTTGGGCTGGTCTACATCGATGTCCTGCGGCTGCATCGAGAGCGACCGCGCCAGTTTCGTCGCCAGTGCATCCGTGACGATAGTGGCCCGTTCCTCGGCTGATTCGGCCTGATGAAACAAGGCTGCGAAGTCGATGGCGTTGGTTGAGCTGGAACCAGAGGAGACGCCGCGTAGGCGGCTGAAGTATGCGAAAAGGGGCCGCTGCAACGTCTCGTCTGGTTCCATCTCGATTTGAAGGAGATCCGCAGGGGTGACGAGGCCTACGGTGACTTGGCTTCTCAGAGCCTCGCCCACGGGACGGCCCGTAGGACTACAGCAAATGTCCAGCACGGTCAGGAACTCATCCTCCTCGATTTTGGCAAGGCTCCGCGATCCCTCAAAGTTCTTGCGCAACTTCTCACTTTCAGCAACGATGCCAATCGTACGCATCAAACCTAAATCAATAGATACGGCGTGCTGACCCCGGGCGACGCGGTGTCGAGCTAATGCGTCTTGGAATGTGCAGCCAGCCGCATAGTTGGACTGGCTGACATTACCAACGATGCCAGCGGCCGAAGACAGGAGAATAAAGAAGTCCAGGCCGTCGCCAAGGAGGTCGTGAAGATGTAGAGAGGAGTCGACTTTGGACCGGATGGTCTGTCGCCACTGTGCGTGCGTCATGTTTTCGAACACCGAGTCCTGGAGGACCATGGCAGCGTTGATACACCCGCGAATCGGCGGCATCGTGGCGTTGCAATTCTCAAGCGCTTCGGCAAGACACTGCGCTGAAGAGACGTCACAAGTCGGTGTCAACACCCTGACGCCCTGTTTGCCGAGCTCATCGACCACATCGGCAGCTTCTTGGGAAGCAATCCCAGACCGCGTGGGGACAACGAGGTGCTTCGCACCCTTCTGAGCCATCCATTTCATCATCGAGCGCCCGAGACCGCCAAGGCCGCCAGCTATGAGATAGGTGGCATGCTCATCGAAAGTCCAGGCTCTGCGGTTGATGAGACGTTTCTGCATACTGGGTTAGCCAAGCAGCCCATCCTCGAAACACCATCTGCACATACCTCAACCGTGGTGCAGGGGTCGATCCTGATGACGATTCGGCCAGTATTCTTGCCGCTCTGAAGATAGCGGAACCCTTCCTGCAGTGTATCCAGCCCGTAGATGTGCAGCGGTTTGGGACAGTAAATTTGGCCTTCTTCGGCCAACTCCATTGTCTTAAGCAACAGCCGTCGTCCCATGTCCTTGTTGTGCAGGGCCACGTAGCGTAGATCGACAGCCGAGAAGGTGACGTTGTTGGCGAAGAACGCCATGGGCAAGGAGGAGTTCGCATTGATGTCGGCCTTTCCGATCTCGATAAATCGTCCGTGAGGAGCGACACACTTCAGCGACGCGAACAAGCCCTCCCCTACCAGGGAATTCAGCACCACGTCCACGCCATAGCCCCTAGTGACTCTCATTACGCCCTTGGCAAAGCTAGTATCGCGGCTGTATAGGATGTGGTCCTCTGGAATTCCGTATTGGTCCATGAGAAGCTGCCTTTTGTGGTTGAATCCTACGGTGGCAAACACTTCCGCCCCGATCATCTGGGCGATCTGAATCGCGAGCTGCCCAGTGGCTCCCGATGCCGCGTGGATGAGTATCCTCTCGCCCTTTTGCAGGCGGGCGACTTCGACGAGGGAGTGCCACGCAGTGATGCCGGAATTCAGGATGCCACAGGCCTCCTCGAACGAGACAGACTCTGGGATTTTGCAAACTGCGCTTTCCTCCCCGCGAGGGAACATGCGCATGCAGCCGACCGCGCCCATGACGACACGGTCTCCGGCTTTGACAGAGGTGCATTGAGACCCAACCTTGGTCACGATGCCGGCGCAGTCTGACCCGAAGCCCTCCTCGTCCAGGCGTCCTAGGGCCAGAAACACGTCGCGGAAGTTGACTCCCCAGGCCTTGGCTTCGATCTCGACTTCTTCCGGGCCCAACGGCTCGTAGTAGACGACATCTTCCACATACTGCAGCGTTTCAAGCGACCCGCGGCTTTCCGTCTCAACCTTGAGGGGAGGCCCGGGCAGCCAAGGCTCCAGTCGCGCCTGGGGAACGAGCGACGAGCTCATGTCCCGGTTCATGTCCGTCTCCTGGACGAGCCTGCCGGTCAAGACTTTCCCGTCCAGAATGACGTATTCATCCTCTGGCGATGCGGCCCCGAATGCCGACTTGAGGATCTTGACGATTTGGTCGGCGGCGGTTGACGCGGCCAACGACCCTCCTTCAAACGACAAGGAAACGATACGCTTCTCGAGATGCTCTGAGCGAAGTGTGCGGAGAAAGCCATCCTTGAGTCCGCCGTAGGGAGGCGCGGTTGTGCTATCGAAGCTGCCCCTTTTCGGCGATGTCACCCACAGCAGGTTCTTGGAGACGTTGACGCAAGTCTGCATGGCCGCGAAGTTGGTTTCGGAGATGTCGACCAAGCATGACTGGCCCATCTCAGCCAGGAACAAAACGAAGTCGACCGAGGACAAGTGCCTTTTCTCCAAGTTCTCGAGGGACAGGGTCTCGGGTTGGTGAACTAGTTTGTCGGCCAAAGCCGCCGACAGAGACGCCGCCACAGCTAACTGATACTCGTCCTTGTCATCGACAACAAGAAGTGTCTTGGGCGCCTCAGCGCCAAGCTCTGGCGTGTACTCAAGCGTAGAGACAATTATGCTGGCCCAGTGCGCGTCGTCGTTCTCATAGTCTCTGATAACCATGTCGTTTCCAGAAAAGCCGTTCTCCCTCAACACCCTGTCCCACTCGGGCAAGGTGATGGTTGGGGCCCAAGTGCGGAAGTCTTCCTCGCTGTACCACCAGCCCGTCAAGGGCCCGAAGCCGAAGCAGATGACAAAACAGTCCGGTGCCGTTGTCTCGTGGAAAACCAAGCGGCCGCCGGGCCTCAAGACGCAGCGGAGGTTCTGGAGGGTGGCGTTCAGGTTCTTGGTAGCATGGAGCACACTCCCCGCGAAAATCACATCGTAGCTTCCTGCCTCGTAGCCTTGAGCAATGATGTCTTTTTCGAGATCGAGAGGCTTGAAAGTCATGCGATCCTGATGTTCCGCAAATCGCTCTCGGGCTTTCTCAAAGAAGCCGGTCGAGATGTCCGTGTAGACATACTCGGAGAACGCAATTCCGCCTGTGCGATCCTCAATCCGCCAGAGATACGACAGAAGAACGCTGGTCATGCCGCCTGTGCCAGATCCGACCTCGAGAATTCTTTGACTGGGGTTTTGATGTGCCGACAACTGCACATATGACTCAAGTTTATGGTTGTTCATGCGCTCGAATAGCGTGTCGTAAAGATCCTGAGCCAAGGGGGTTGAGAAAAGGAATGCTACAACGTCAATTTCGCCTCGGACGATGGACACTAGGTTCTCTGCAATCTCGATAAACATTCTCGCAGATGGTCGCATCTCGCGGAGATGGTTGAGCTCGTTCGTCAAAGCTTCCCTGCTCATTTCGTCTTCATCTGCAATCGGGTTTCTTTCGAGCTCTCTTTCCATCCAGGAGACGAATTTTCTCATATGGCTCGGTGCTCTTGTCCAATCAGTTTCTTGCAACTTCGTCATCTCATGCTGTACGACGGCGATTAAGGCCTTCTTGAGCCTAATGCAGTAGTTGGCTGCGGCCGTCTCATCGTCGGGCAACGCATCAACGTCGCAATGCTCCTGTAGCTGGTCACGACTTAGCAGCGACAAGTGAGGTTTCCAGTCGATGCCGTGAAGCAACCTCCTCCCGCCACTGACAGCCGTCTCAGGTCTACCCTGAACAGGCAGCATGTCCAGGTGCTCCATGTGGCAGAGCGGCGACCCGCTGTCAGCCACGACGATAAAGGATGAGTCGATGCCGGATGAATTGGACTTGAGCCGCGACTTTGTCATTGTTCGGATGTGGCTAGTTTCCGGATACTGCCACCCCTTGGCCGAGACCCAAGCTTGGGAGATCCTATGGGGGATGATGGTCGGGAGAGTCTTTGACATCCCCCCCGACGGTGCCACAAAGCAGACTTGGCAAGAAGCATCAAGCACCGCGGGATGAACGATACCCTCGAATGGCAGCGTGGGAGGGCCAACATGGACCGAGGCGACCCCGAGCTCTCCGCCATCCCAGTGGATTTCGTCTGCCAATGCAAAAGCCTCGCCGTACTTGAGACCCTGTTCTTCATGCCAGGCATAAAAGTCTTGGGAGCTGATGCTGTCCATGCACACGCCCTTTGCGTGTTTGTACTTACGCGAGAGATCTTCGGCGGCAAGACGCGCCTCACGTCCTCCGTCGACTTCTGTGGGAGTCTCTTCATACTCAACGTGGACAATGGCGCTGAAGCATTCGCTCCAACAATCGTCGCTGTTGGTGAACAAGCGAACCTCGCAGCGAGGAGAAGACTTTGCGTGTGACTGCTGGAGTCGGCGCAGCTGCGTCACCACCTCGGTCTTACCCTCGACAGGGATAACTATAGGAGTCTTGAAGACCGCATCTTTGATGCAGTACGCAGAGATTGTTTTTGGCCCATCGTCCGCTTGGTTAACGGCTTCTAGGGCCATGACCAAGCTACCCGCCGCAGGGAAGAATATCGTTTGCCCAACGACATGGTCCGCCAGCCACGGAATTTCTTCCGCGCTCAAGATCTTGCGCCACCTTGGCTCGAGAGGATTCCAGTCTGCTGCCCTGAATCCGAGGCTCGTTGGAACTACCTCACGCAACCTCCAATCTCGACTCAGTCGCGTCTCGTGCCAGTAGAGCTGAGAATGATCGAACGGATACGGGGGAGCATCGACTGCGAATGGAGCCCCGTGTTGACCACACTCCTGTTTGTTGACAGCGACGACGGATACGGGAAAGCCTTGCGAGAAAAGCTGGCCGGCGATCGTCATGATAGACTTGACCGGTGAGACGAGTTTTGACAAAAGAGCCGCATATCTCGAGGCTTTATTGTTGCCTATATGGACCAGCGTATCGTTCACCGGCCGTCTCAGAGCTCCGTGTGGACCGACTTCGATAAAGTCAGACACCGTTTTGAGGCCGTCTGCCTTGGGTGCCACAGCAGCTAAGTATTGGATAGCATCCGCAAATCTGACGGGCGATACCATATTGTCGACCCAATATTGTCCACTCGCCATTGCCTTCGGGGCCTCTCTTTGCCCCGTGACGGAGGATACCAAGAGGATGCTGTTGCGCTCACCGTCTCCTTCTTCCAGCTGACCCAGGCAGGAGAGATATTCCCCAGATATCCGCCGCATGGCAGGAGAATGATACGCCACTCCTGTGGTGAGCTTCTGAGCAAACGCACCGTCGTCATCCAAGTGCTTCTTCAGAGTGTCAATGTCGGATTCGTCTCCCGAAAGAGTGACATTGAACGGGCTGTTAACACAGGCAACGTGTACGGCTGCATTGAGAGGAAACCGGCTCAGGTACGCCTCAACGTCCCCTTCTCGGATGTTCACAGACATCATTGCTCCGGGGACTTCGGTTGATTTGACCAAATCACCAGTCAGCCGGCCGCGGCGGTATGCCACTTTGCATGCCGACTCGAGCGAGAGGCCTCCGACACAGTATGCCGCAGCGATCTCTCCAGACGAATGTCCAACGACGGCGGATGGCACAATGTGGAAGCTCTCAAGCAGCGCTATCAGTGCTATCTGGAGAGCCGTACAGATTGGCTGGCTGAACTGAGGCTTATTGATGTTCTGCTTGCTCTGTATCTCCGCTGTAGGATAATTGGTCAGCTTTGCCGACATTTCAAGAAACTATTTAGAGTGAGCGTCTGCGTTGCGCTTACCGAACAACGACCAGTCGGCGCCAAGTTGAGTGAAGACTCTGTCGATTTTGTCCAAGGTAGACCGAAAGATATGATACCGCATGAGTTCCAACCCCATTCCCGCATACTGGGCACCCTGACCAGTGAACACGAACGAGAGCGCCGTTTGCCGAGATGAACGCACTGCGTTGGACGCGGATGCGCTTATAGCGGCCGAGGCAGCTTCACTGTCCGATACTGTGAAGGATCTCCAGCTCATGATACTCCGTCGAGCGGCAAGAGTGAAGGAAAGCTTCTCCAGCGTCTCTTGGGGGCCGGTGAGTTGAGATTCGGCGTACGTTGCGTATTGTTGGAGAAGACGCTGCACCGCGGATTTGTCTTTTGCGGACCACACCAGGAGCTTGAATTTAGCAGGCTCTGAGCGGTCGGCTTCTTCGTCATGGCCATTGACGGCTCCGTGTGCATTATTAGTGACGGTTCCGTTGGGTTTTCCGTGAATGCTTCCATTCACAAAGCTGGCGTCGTGACGTAAAGCCAGTGAGTCGGATTTATCATCATGGTTATCGGCAACATGACTGACGCAGCCTGTTCCATTCGTGTACCTGATCCCGGTGCCATTATGGCAGAATCTGTTGACAAGGTGTCTCTTCGTGGCGTTGTCACTGGCCGCGGACGCTTCGGGTGACAGAACCAAGGTGTGATGGTTGCCTCGGAGCGCCAGAGCTTCGAGAGTGTGGTACGCATCATCCATGACGACGTGTCCATTAGACCCGCCAAAGCCGAAGGAATTCAAAGACATGCGGCGCAATCGATTGCCAGGCCACGGAATACATGCTGTAGGAACCTTGGGGCGGACGTCTTTTAGGATCAATGCTGCGACTTAGGGGTAAGAGGCAAGAGCACAAAAGCCGTACCTTGACGCGATAGAGCTTGGAGTTGATCTGTGGATTCAGCTTTTCGAATAGGGCATTGGGCGGAATGAGCCCTTTCTCAAGGACCACTATGCCCTTCATAATACCAGCTAGGCCGCTTCCTCCTTCGAGATGGCCGATGTTGGCTTTTACGGAGCCACTGGTCGGAAAATCAGACTGACTTGCGACTTTCAGGGCGTGTTGGATTAGTTTGCTCACACATAGAGCGGCTCACTCTCCGAGCGAGCACTGCGGAAGACACGACCGAGTGCCTTCATCTCCGTTGAGTCTCCGATTTGGGTCCCCGTGCCTGATCATTTGCATTAGCAGACTGGAACCGAGTCAAGTCTTGGGTGCTAACCGTGGGCCTCAACGTAACGCGTCGACTCGAAATCCAAGTTCTCATTTTCGTACACTTTTCGAATGAGCTCCTCCTGAGCGGAGGCACTCGGCTGTGTCAGTCCAGGGGTATGGCCGTCTTGGTTCGAGCCAGTGGCGCGGATAACCGCACGAATCATGTCGCCATCTCTGATAGCGTCGGGGAGCTTCTTCAGGAGAAGGACCACGACGCCCTCGCCCCTCGAATAGCCGTTCGCTCGCTGATCGAAGCTATAACAAAGGCCATCAGGGGATAAGAAGTTCATGTTGGACAGATAAAGGGAGCTCTCGGGATTCAACAGAACATTTGCCCCCGCAACCAGAGCCTTCAAGGCAAGGTCAATACGTGTCTGCAGCCATCTTCATGGGACCCGACAGCACTTACCATCGAGCTCTGCCCATTGTGCAGTGACTGGCACGCGAGATCCACGGCAATCATGCTGGACGAGCAGGCCGTATTCAGTTGCAGACTTGGGCCCTTCAAATCAAAATACCAGCTCAGTCTGTTTGCCAAGATTGATGGTGCTGTGCCAGTGGCAGTGTTGGTCGGTGCTTCGTCAGGATCCTTGGTCAACATTCTCATGTAGTCGTCAGCCATGGATGCTACAAACACTGCGGTCTCGCTGCCCGCTATCTTTTCCACCGGCATTCCAGCTGCAAGCATGATTTCAGTATCCATCAAATATCTTTTTCATTTTGCGGATTTAGATATACATATCTCTTACCGTTCTCAAAGGCCCGATACGACTCTTCCAACAACCACCGCTGCTGCGGGTCCATAGAGGCGGCCTCTTTCGAAGATATGGAGAAGAAACTGGCATCAAAAGCAGCAGAGTCCTCTTTGACGAAGTGGGCTCCCCTGGATTGCAACTGAACTTGTTAATTAGTAACTTTCTGCCTCGGCCTTTGACTGGGATGAGCATTACAGTGTTCTTTTTCCTAGACGCCGGGTCGTAGAACGCGTCGAGATTGCTTCGCGACTTCGGCCACGGCGTCATGACATTTCTGCCATGCTCCAGCATGTCCCAGAAGCTCGTGTCATCCTCGCACCCCCCGGGGAGCTTGAATGAGTACCCCACGATGGCAATCGAGTCCATGGCGCAGGATCCGGGACCACAACACCAAGAAGCCCTGCTGATGGAAAATTGGAACGAAGCAGGCTCTCGGGAGGACAAATGGGCCTCAATTACGGTTCAGGTTGGAAACAGGACTTTCGGCAAAGGCAAGAGAATGGCTTGGTGGGTACAGGCTATACTTTCCAGTCTGACCGCGGGTCCGATTCCAGTACAGCTCACCAGCCGAAGGCCGAATGGAACGAAACAGCCGCCACTGAAGAAGCAGGCGGGATCTCGCAGGCATAAGCTCCGGGTTCTAACCACGAATGTAGACCACGCACCAAGTGCTTCTTGTCGGATGTCCCTGCCGCTGGACGTGAGCTTACTGACGGGCTGGACACGACTCCCAATGCAACCATGACAGGTCTGAGTCGCAGTCACGAAACTATTCGAGGATTCTCGGAGGGAAGCCTGGTGTAGGGCCCTAAGATCCGAATGGTTTAGGAGGCTTCGTTGGCCGAGCTAACAATACTCCGTACGACTTCGGGGCCATGTAAGGTTACCCGCATGACCCAACAGGGATATTGCTCCGAGATCGTGCTTCGTTGGGGGCCATCATGAGACCGAGTACCTATACTCGTGCCCGGAGCCGTGCCTGTACCTATCCCCGGCTTTTCCGTCAAGGGCATCAAGCGGTAGTATCCCTTTGGTTTACGCCACTTATGCATTATAGACCAGGGCCGCTTGTAGCGGTCACGCATAAGGGCGAATCACACCATAGTTCTGAATCGAGGCTACGGCTTGACCTTTTGTCGGTGGGTTTGGCAAGTGTCGTCTCTGCGTACTCTGTACACGGGGAGACGGTATCCTACACTTGGAACAGAGGGACTGAGCAGTACTTGCTGTGGAATAAATCGAATGAGATAAAGACAGCAGCTTGATATTCTAAAGGCTATTGTATTTAATGATAATTTTCGGCTTACACTAAAAATATTATTTCATATAATCAGGGCGGCTCAGGTCTTTTGCAACGACGCGAAGTTCCCGGCTGCTCCTTCCCCAGGCACAGGTAAATATTCAACTGTTTTCTCTGCTCCAATCTCCGTTGCCGATTTTCACCAAATTGGACGGACCATTGGATTCTCGAATCTTCTAGGCCATAACACACCTTTAGCTATAGCCAGCAGTTCGTTCTCTACGTACCTCAGAATCTCAACCGGGTCAAACTCATCGCAAGACGGTTTCGACGTCTCCAAACAATGGATCAAAACCTCGAACAGTCGCTGTTCAATCCCCACGGGCCTCTCGTGACTCGCCTCGAGAGCCAAAGCGTTCGTGGCTCGACAGCAGCTATACCTCAAACTTTCTACCGTAACTTGGAAGAAGCTCTCGAGGTACGCCGCGCCTCCAAAACTTTCTACTCCATTGTTCAAGATGACTGGGGAAAGACCGACATGGTCGACCTTTGCTCTAACGACCTGCTCTCCCTGAGCGCCACCGGCATGCTAACCGCCGAGTACCTTGCGGAGCTAGCCCGGCATCCAGGCTTTGCCACGACATCTGGCGGCTCGAGGATGGTCGACGGGAACTACCCGTACCTGGACCAGACGGAGAAGGAAGTTGCTGCCTTTCACGGGTTCGAGGCAGGTGTCATGCTGAACTCGGGATTCGACGCGAACGTCGCCATCTGGACAGCCATTCCCCGTCCGGGAGATGTGATGCTATACGACGAGGCCTCGCATGCGAGCACCCACGACGGTATGCGCCAGAGCCTCACCACGCACAAGATCGAGTTTCGACACAACGACGTTGAGTCGTTCCGCAGCACGCTGGTCTCCATCTTCGAAAGCCACCCGCTTGTCAGACAGGCTAGGCGGACTGTGTTGGTGTCGGTTGAGTCTGTCTACAGCATGGACGGCGATGTGTGTCCGCTGCGCGAGCTGATCGAGGTCGCCAAGGACGTTTCCCGCAATCAGGGAAACGTCCAGTTTGTCGTCGACGAGGCACATAGCACGGGTATGATAGGGCCAGGCGGAAGAGGCCTCGTGTGCGAGCTGGGGCTGGAGAAGGATGTCGCCGTCGTCTTGCACTCATTTGCGAAGGGGTTGGGCTCGCATGGTGGTAAGCTTGCCCTGCATCCCAACCCCCTTTGCCTTGGTCGGCTGATGAAACCGCATTTGCTGATGCACCCTCGCCGTCTAGCCATCATCGTCGGCAGCAGCCGGATCCGTAGTACCATTGTCAATTTTGCCAGGTCGTTCCAGTACACGACGGCGCCGCCCTTTCCCCTCGTTGCTCTCGTCAAGGCTGGCTATACCCTGCTCACCGATGGAAGAGCCCGCGAGAAACAGGAAAATATCCAGTTCCTGATGGGATTATTCTTTGAGGAGGTGACGTCTCATGCGTTGTGGCACGTGGCCCAAAGGAAAGGGATCCTGTCTATCCCACTTTCCAAGGGATGGGAAGAGCGCTCCTTTTTCACCCATGTCATCACGTTATGGACACGCCAGAGATGCACCTACTGGCTGTATTTCCACCTTCTCTTCTCCTCCTTCAGCGTCATGCCAGTCGAGCACCCCGTTGTGCCGGCCGGTCAAAGCAGGTTGAAAGTCACGGTCCATGGCGGCAATACGGAAGCGCAGATCCAAGGTCTTGTGAAGGCCATCTACGTGTGGGTTGAGGAGATGCTCGCCGCTGAAGAAACGGGAGAGGTAACTACCGCCGCCGCCAAGGTTTACGCCTGGATGAAGCGCGAGAAACTGAGTGGCTTCGGTATGGTGTAAGGCTCGGCCGGAATGATCTTTGCTTAATTGATCTCTTGTCCACTTCTGCCGCCTTGTACAGACTACTAGTTGCGAGCCGTGCCGTGGAGGGTCGTTCCCGACGTGCATATCGCCCCGGTTTCGCGTCTGTATGTACAAGGATCGGCCTGCACAGCCACCGCACCGTCCAGCGTACAGTAAGGTACTTTACGTGATCTCTTGCTGCGGATCCTGGCCATCTTCCGAACGCATACTTCAAGGATCGTCGGGGGTGGTGTGCTGGTGATGGTCGGGGGCCGTCTTGGAAGAATCTCCTTTGCAGCTGCTACTGACGCTGCATTTACCCGTTCATCGGAAGGGCAAGGCGGCTTGATTCGATGATGCCGGTCCCGTTCCACCCCGAGAACCCGGAGTCTTGTTGTTTTCCTAGGCCGACGTCCTGCGTTGCGGCAGCTGGTTCGAGCCAGGTTTTCTCTCTCCTTTGTTTGCCCCCCCCCCACCTCCCTCCCCCCCTCTCTCTTCCCGCCCAACGTGCGCTGTCTTCCCCTGCTACACCTAGACAGGCTGGCCCCCAATCTGCCTTTCCTACTTTCTCTTTCCAGGAGGCAGGCCAAAGCCTCTTCCCAACAGTCAGCCTCGTCCGCATTCTGCGCTTCCTGCAAAGTTCACGTGCCCCGAACGAGTCTCAGTTCAGTTCGATAGCCGCCAGGTTCAAGGGAGTCATGACAACTCCAAACGAGCCTCCGTCGGCTTCCGACGCCGTGAAGCTCGAGACAGCGTCGGCTCAGTCACCCGCTGGACCAGAGGCGGGTGCTTGCCACAACGAAGCCGTGCTGACCCCGGAGCAGCAAGTGTCAAACGACCAAAAGAAGACGCTTGGCTTCAAGATGTCGGTCCTCTCCTTGGTCATTATGTGCTTCATCGTGTCTCTGGACGGCACTATCCTCGCCGTTGCGATACCCGTATGTTCAAGTTTCCGCTTCGGCGTCCTCTCCCCCAAGTTTATCCCATTTAACCGACTTAACCTCCAGGTCATAGCCCAAGACCTGAACGGTACAACCTTGGAGGCTTTCTGGGCGAGCATTGCATTCATACTTGCTGTTGTCATTACACAGCCTGTCTATACCAATGTGTCCAACGTTCTTGGGCGTCTGATTCCCCTCTACATCTCATTCGGCCTGTTCATGGCAGGCTCCATTGTCTTCGCCCTTGCCAACAGCATGGGCGTCTTGATTGGCGGGCGTGTCATCCAGGGTCTCGGCGCCGGAGGCCTGGATGTCTTCAACGAAATCATCCTTGCTGACATCACCACGTTGAAGGAGCGTCCCATGTATCTCGGTCTCATGGCCGTTCCAGTCGCCGTAGGCTCCATCCTAGGTCCTATCCTGGGCGGAATGTTGGCTCAGTACGCGACGTGGAGATGGATTGGATGGATCAACTTGCCCGTGTCGGTGGTCGACCTCGTCTTGGTGTTCTTCTTCCTTAAGCTCAAGACACTCCAAGAATCCTTCCGCGAGAAGGCACTGCGCCTCGATTGGATCGGCCTCGTACTCTTCACCATCGGATGCACCTTGACTGCTACGCCCATCGCTTGGGCCGGCGTAATGTACCCGTGGTCCTCGTGGAGAACAATCCTACCTTTATGCCTAGGGATCGCCGTTCTCGCCGCATTTGGATGGTATGAGTCTCGACCACAGGAGCCGGTGTTCCCGCCCTGGATGTTCAAAAGCCGGACCTCATCTTTCGCGCTGCTCGCATCTTTTTTGCACGGCGTGCTTGTATACAGCATCATCTTTTTCGCACCGCTCTACTACCAAGCCGTCTTCCTCAAGGCGCCGATGCAATCCGCCATCTCGACACTGCCGCTTGCCTGCTGTTCCGTCGTTTTTGGCATCATTGGCGCCGTCATCGTCGAGGTAACTCGCAAGTACCGGCTCATCATTTTGATTAGCTGGATCCTCGCAGCCGTGGGCTGTGGTATCCTCACATTCTGGGGCGACGATGCCTCCCTCGCCATGCAAGTCACCTTCCAGATCATCCTGGGTATTGGTACTGGAAACCTTTTTTCCGTGCTCAATCTACCCATGCAGGCCAGCGTGCCCAACGCGGACGACATGGGCCTTGCCGCCGGAGTCCTCGTCTCGTTTCGACTTTTCGGAGCCCTCCTGGGTCTGTCTTTATGCTCCACAGTCTTCAACAGCGTATTCGCGACACGAATCAGATTGGTAGGGCCCTTGACTGGTGACGTCGCGACCTTGAACGATGTCCGCAAAGCATTGTCGTTTGTCCCGCAGCTGAGAGAGGCAGATGTGAGCTCGGGTTTGCTACATGAGCTGACCGGGACTTACAAGATTTCTATATATTCCGTGTTTTGGATGCTAGCAGGTGTTGGTGGCGTGGGTTTTCTAATCTCTATCCTCATCAAAGAAATCTCACTAGAGGTAGAGGAGCTTGGCAAGCAACGTTTTACAGATAAGAGCGTGGATAAGTCTTGACACCGACCATAGACAGCGATTCTATTTGTTGAGTATATCCATTTTACCCCTCGGATATCTAAAGGCGCAAGAGGTTATAACATAAAAAGACTGCAAGATAGACATTTGTCTCCCTCCTTTTCTTACTGAAGTCTTGATGCAAACTAAACAGTGATTGTTCTAGGCAGGACGGGTGTGGCTGTCAACTCATTCTACTGCCTGGCACAAACCTATGCTCTGGCATAGAACTTCAAGGACGGTCCATCATGCATGGCCGAAAAGGTATCATACAGCTGATACTCGCCCTCGCGATGCCTCCCATCGGTTCTCCCAGCCGTTCCTGCCCCGAGCTTACCTTCTTCTCCAGGGGCGGCCTCGAAATCGAAGTTCCAGAGAGTGCGGGCAAACGTGAGGTTAATCTCCATGTGCGCGACGGATTTCCCCGGGCATGAACGGGCACCCAGAATGAAAGGGGCGAAGGCGTTCTTCATCTTTTGCAGCTGATCCTTCGACGTCTCGGACTCTAGCCAGCGCTCGGGCCGGTAAACGAACGGGTCTGGGAAATACTCTTCGTTATGGTGGATGGCATAAAGATTCACGCCAAGGTCGGTACCTCGAGGTATGACATGGCCGTCGATGATGAGGGGCTCTTTGTCGTCCGCCAGCTGCTGTCGCCACAAGGTCCCCGTGTTCGGCGTTGCGCAGCGGAGCGTCTCGCTGATGCAGACTTGAAGGTATACGCAGCTCCGAAGTTGATCGCCGGGGTGGATCTCGTCGGCCGACTTGAAAGCGGACCGGATCTCATGAGCCAGCTTCTTATAGCACGCCAGATTCCGCGACAAGTAGAAGAACATGGCGCTCATGGTGGTCGCAGTAGTGTTGCCTCCGGCGACGATGAAAAAGAAGGCCTCGGCCCAGAGTTCGCTGTTGGCAAGACCGACGCTGCCTCCCATGTCGTCAACAGCAAAGGAGTACAGGTCGTGCTTGGCATGCTTATCCATAGTCAGGCGGTTCTTGATCATGTCGGTTGTTATGTTGACATACTTTGCGCGTGCCTTCTTGACAAGCACTTTCAGGAGAGGTTCCAGCTTTCGAACGACAGGCGCTTGCATGTAGACGTTGATTCGCGCGCTCGCCAACGCCAGTCCGGGCTGTAGCCACCGGTTCGCGTCATCCGTCTGCTGTCTGAGGGAGTAGCCGAATGCCAGCTGTCCAACAATATCGCCGCCGAGCCACATACAGCGCTGTGTCATATTGATGGGCTCCGACCGAGCTGCCGAGGTGTGAAGCTGCTGGACGAACACGTCGATTTGCTCAGACATGACGGGCTCGAATTTTCGCATAGCCTTCTCCGTCAGGGGCTGACTGACAATCTTGCGTTTCCTCCTGTGCACGTCGACATCTATGGTATCGAAAATATTGGATTGAGAGCTCATCTGAGCCAAGCGATACAATGGTGACTTGGTCAATCTTGGATTCTGGTATATGTCTTCGACGTAAAGTAAGCTTCTCTTCTGCGGGCTCTCCCTCTCTCCCCGGCCGGCGATATTCAACAATTCTTCGATGCCAAGGGGAAGGAGGCGAAACGGAACTGACCGTGTAGTGAACTGGCGGTGTTGAATACCAGCCGATTAGGCCCTTGTCTCACCACGGGTCCTTGACAATTCAGTAACTCTTTAGCAGAGACTCAACTTGCATCCCCCCTCTTCCCCCGACGATTCTTACCATATTTCATGTGGTTCTCATAGGTGACCAAGTGCAGTCTTCTTGACGCGGCAAATACACCCCCATAGCCGTCCAAGATTTTTGCGAAAAATGGCCCTGGATACTTGCTCAGAGGATGGAAAGTGGCCCGATAGCTGAGAAGCAGGAAGAGCTTCGTAAGAATATGGCGAGTGAGCTAGACAGTGACGCAACGGGGCAACCGTGGATCGTGACCACATACGTAGGACAAGAACAAACAGGCGGCGTACACAACCATGGACTGGACGAGGTCCGACAACCCCATATTCACTGCTAGTGAATCGGAAAGATGCCGCGCGCGCTAAGAGCTTGTAGGCTGGAATAGGCTTGTGGGTTGAATCCTGAGAAGAGGCAAAGAGGGAAGAAGATAAGTACCCCGCACACTATGGGCGTGGACCCGAGCCTTAAGGGCTCCGGCCCGCGGAGGCTGACTGCATGTAAGGGAGCTGGCCCATAGGGGTTGCTCTCAGCAAATCCAACCCCAGGTGACAGCAAAGGCAGCTGGTAGAAAGAACCTTGAGTCATGGGCGTGGGCAATACGCGCTTGTTTTCCCTACTTCTCACTGCTTGTTGGGCGCGTGCTGACCCTGGGCAACACCCCAGGTAAAGTATTGCTGCTACTCTGTCTGTTGGTCGCATGCCTTCCACCCCCCCTTGGCGCTGGGGGCTGCTCGTGCATATACCTATAGCCCCAACAGCCCAGTGTGAGCCGCTCCAAGTACTGGTACCCGAGCACTGATATGTCCAGGCTGCAGTCGAGGTGTACGACACTGCTGTGCCACATGAGAATATTCCGTGCCCGATTTGGCACAGCCTGGTTGTTCTATTGAAGCTATTCGCTCGTGGGGCACCCTCCTCGTATTCTAAAAATCATGAGGGTGTGGCATCAGATGCACAGCTGAAATTGACAAAGTATGCAGTCATTAAGGGATCCTGTTGGTCCCCGTACATCATGGACATATATATCTTCACACTTTCAGGAAGGACAGCGCAATCGATACACTCTCTCAATGCAAGGACCCCATAACTAGTGATACTACCACATCCCCAAGCCACTCCTCCCCGACTCCCTTCTGGGTATGAGAGAATCTTCCAGGTCTTCACGTGCCCTGGACGCGGTATTCTTAGGTAGACTGGCCTGTGATTATACCAGCCAGCATATCTACACACGTAGGGAGTATAGAGTACTTATCACTGAATTGTTCGACCTCGCTATGGGCCTCTATCTTGCTTTCGTTCACTGTACCAAGAGGGCGGGGGATGCGTTGGCCTTGTCATTATTAGGCAGGCAGATGACCTGGGGAGGTTTGCAGGACCATCCCAACTCGACTCGACATACACATGCATATGCATCCCACTTGTCTGCCCACCACGTTGTCGGAGCTGTGCCACACTCCATTTCAACCTCTTATGGGTAGCATTCTACACGGATGATGACCCGGCCCTAGGAAGCAGAACCAAGGTTGGCCTGTTCCTTTGCAGCCCGTCGGCGCTGTCTCCATTAGTCGAAACGACGTAACATGGTCCAGCATCCCAGAACCCGACGGCAACCTGGATACGGATTGGATCCTACCTGCTGATTTTCTGAAATTCGTCCAAAAGTCCAATCGCTGCTGGATCCCCGCCCGTCTGTGTTCTTCACACTTGGCTCCCGCACTTTGTTCCGTCCCACACTATCTCGCGCAAAGACTCAAGTCGAGCATCGCGGAGATGGACCCAAAAGCTCTCAACCAGCCCGCCGCACCACCTCCTGACAATGTCATGCCGAACTTTGATAATCCCCCAAATGGAAATGCCGTCGGCGTCACTTTCATCATTGTATGTCTCGTGATCTCGATGCTCTTCGTCATCTTGAGAATCTACTCGAGGGTCTATAGACCCAAGAAGTTATCTGTCGCAGATGGTGAAGTCACCCTCGTATGAACCGACTCGGCCTCCTCGAAAACAAGTACTAATTTCTCTTGCAGCACTCGAAATTTGCGCATTTGTATGTGTTTCGCCAACTCCTCACGGTCTAGCTCCCCGTGCAATATCTTATTTTCCCGTTCATTCTACCAGGGCTGCTTCGTCGGAGTCGCCTGGTGCGGCTTCTCGCTTTGGAAGACTATTGGCTTTTTCGTTCAACAGTATAACATCCGACTCGGCACATTGTTCAAAGCCCTCTACGTAAGTTAGACTTATTCCTTCGATCCCATTGCCCAACCTCGTCTCGACTCCCTGGCCCCACGAGGGAAAACAGCGTTCGACTCCTTGCTAACGCGAGGCAAGGTGCTTTATCTCTTCCCACTGTTGTATGCCTGCACCATGATGTTTGCCAAAACTTCCATCCTACTCGAATTCATCCATCTCTTCGTACCGGGCCGAACCCGGAACAAATTCTTCTGGATCTGCTGGGCAATGATTGTCGCCAACTGCCTGTTCTACCTGGCCTCCATCGTCGCCGTCCAGTTCTACTGCACTCCGGTAGAGAAGAACTGGCACAGATGGGTGCCCGGCACGTGCCGTGATCGAAGCACCATCGACATAACTCCGACCGTCTTCAACTTAGTCTTTGACCTTCTCATCTTGCTTCTCCCACAGCGAGTCATTTGGACATTGCAGATGAACAACCGCCGTAAGCTGGGCGTGTCAATCGTCTTCTCTGTCGGCCTCTTGTCAGTGTTCACCTTGCAATGAATCGCATGTTCCCATGCGCAATTGCACTCATGATTTTGGCTAACAATATATCATACAGAGGTTGTATTTGCGCTGGCGGTCGAATTGCCTATACGGTACACCTTCACTACAAGACCAACGTCGCATACGACAGTGGTCCCATTTACCTTTGGAGTATCGCCGAATGCACTTGCGCCATCCTTGTCTTTTGCGCCCCTGCCTTGCCCAAGGCTTTTCGCTCGACCAAGGAAGGGACCTCGACCATGAGCAACGGCGGTCGCCCCAGCTTCGGACAAGTCACCAACACCGTGCAATCCAATAAATCGTACTACAAGATGGCCGATGGTAAGCACAGACAGGACATTGCCCTCTCCGAAATTCAATTTGCAGCGCCAGAACGTGCGTCCGCCTAGGACGTGCCATATAAATGGGTGGCCGGCGTTGAAAACGAGGCAGGGTTTACATAGGTAGAGAAATAAATGTTTATAAATATACGTGTATATATATACACGAAGCACAATCGGATATAAATGATAAAGATAAAGTGCCATAAAAGTGGGTTATGCCTAACTCTTTAATCTCCCGGACGCGCTCTTTAGCTTCTGCGGTAAGCATTTAATAGGTATAGGTCTGCCTCTCCTCCTTGCTTCTTTCCTTTAGAGTACTTCGTACTCCCTTCCTTTCTTATGTTTCTATAATTACTTCGAAGCATGGGGTCTCCCTTCTTTATCGTTCTTCTTCCGGCAGACCCCTGCGAATTACTTTTTAGATCCTTAAGACCCGGGCGAGCGTTTCCCCTATTAACCCTTTTTCTTCTTCCTAAACTAAAAGGTATTTCTTTTAGCTCTTTCTACTTTTTTCTTACTATTTACCTTACCGAGTTAAATAGCTATTATATAAGCTAATAGTCGTTATAATAATAGCCTACCGCTAAAGTAATAAAAAGTTAATGTGGACAGGCTCTTCACTGCAGTGAGGTTATTCGAACTGGTTCAATTGGTTATATCTTGTGTAACTAGGGAAACGTGTCCCATACAAACTGTGTGCAAAGACCTTCCTCCCTGTGTCTCACCTCTTACTCGCACGTGACTAGCGCGGTCGATTAGTTATACGTGCGCGATCGGTGCCTAGTGCACAGGTGGATCCAACACTGGAACCTCTTTCTAAATCGATGATCGCGCACTAATCAATCCACCAAAAACACACCAAACACAGCGAATTAAGATGAGATAGGAAAAACACGAACAAGAACACCAACAAACTCCTACCACGATGCATCACTATGTTGGATAGTGTGCTCTGACTGTAGCTCTCCTCCCCACACTGGGTGTGTTCTGCCACACGCCATCATGGGCCGCATTTCGAGCGCCGGATGCGCTAGCTGATTCCATCGGTCCCACGTTGGAATATGGACACGAGGATCTCCTCGTTAATGTGAATGGAATAAAAGAACGACGGTAAAGCAGAAGAAGGGAACGAAAAAAACCGATTAAATCTCGTCGAGAATTGTTGTGTTATTGCGATGAACGAATCCTTCCACCCTCACGTTTAGCTGATTGTCGCTAATAAACTGCGTGAGGGCGCTGTTTGGTGATGCCTTCGTCATAGCATCGGCAGGGTTATCTGCGCCGTTGACCCAACGGATTTCCGCAATATCCCTTGATTCATATGCCTGCCTCAGCGCCATGATATCTATCATGAGTCGCTTCTCTGTTGTGGTGCCAAGTTTGACGAGGCACTCATAGAGGCTATATGAATCTGTGCAAATGACGAGCGGGATTTGCTTCAGATCAAGGCGTTGTGCGATCGTATTGACCGTTTGCTTGATCACAAATGCGAGATCGAAGCCCGATGTCAATCCATAGATCTCTGATGCAAGAACGCTTCGAGTAACGCGCTTGCATTTAGTTGAGCTCAATGAAGAATGTTTCCGCGGATGGAAAATGAATCGGTTGATTGCGCGGTCTCATTGGCGATGATAATCACAAAGCCGATTTGAGAGCTTAAATCCTTATTGTTGGCGAATGATCCATCGGTGAACACAAAGATCTTCGCGCTCTCGAGATCGATGGGTATGTAACATAGGCCACGGTCGGGATTGTTGATCTGCCATTCAATCCGCTTGTTCAAAGCCTTGAAGTCGGTATTAACGGGCTCTTGGGCTTGTGCCGCAACGGAACAATCGTATGTTGCTTCGGGTTGGCAAATCGAAGCGATATATGCCCCGGGCGCGTTGAGCAGCATAATCCTGATGCCTACTTGATGCCTGAAGATTGATCTCCTCGAGGTTTTGGGCTTGGCCCTTCTGCCTGACGATGACACAGCCATTTTGTATGGTCAGGCGGCTGCCGTTAAAGTCGCAGATGGAACCTTCTTGGAGAATCTCTTTGGCTTGGCCTTAAAGCAGAGTTCTTTCTCCTCGATCTTGAGAAATGCATCTGTGCCAACAATGAATGTGTCATCCGTTTGCAAGGCCGCGATGCCAAACAGGTCCTTGTCGGCGATGTTGTTTGCCGTGATCAGAAGGCACGGGTCAAACGAAGAGGTTTCCATATTAAGCTTGCGGCAGTGATGGTCGTGATATGTGTTGAACCAGTGGGCTCCTGCCTCTGCGATGCCATATAGCGGCTTCACGATTCGCAGGATTGTTCCTCTGGATATCTTCTTTTGAGTTCTTGAGGAAGGGCTGCAAGGATGACACGGGCCAGCTTGGTCTGGGATTGTGTGTATGCCATCGTGATGTCTCTGATCATGATGAACATATCCCGTGTGCAGAGAAACGGTGCTAAGGCCAAGGCCACGCGTTGTGCGGGCCGGCTGATGGTAGGGGCTTGTGTGAGGATCCCACGTTTCCCATCATCATTGTATCCTTGCACAACGAGGCGTGATTTCTCGTATGGCGTTGCAGTATTTCTTCCTTAACCTCTCTGACCATTCGTGATTTGAAGACACGATATCCACCATGTTTATTCGCATCGAATTCTTCGGGTACAATGACCCCAGCGGCGAGGAGGTTCGTGAGCTCGAGTGTGTCGGAAGCTTCAAATGGGAAACCGGTGCTTGTGATCTTTCCTTCAGCTCGTAGCCGCTTGGCTAGGCCGAGATGTTCCATTTCTTTTCGAACAAGAAACGCATTAGCTTCATGATGAACGATAAATTGAACGGGTGAGCAAACAATAGTGGATTCTGATGTGCCATTTTGTGCAGCATCCTTCCTAGGTCGGCCACGCCTGCGCGGCCTCTTTGGCTCAGGGTATTCGAAAGGTTTGGGTTGGTCTTCTGTGGTAGGAAGAGGAAGAGGTTGTTGAGTTGTGGGTGGAAGGGAAGAGGGTTTTGAAGAGGATGTTGTTGATCGGATTGTGTTGAGGAAGGAGTGATTGTTGTGTTGATGGGTCTGTGCGGCTAGGGCTAGGGTCGGGTTGCAACTGAGGAAGGAGCGATTCCGGGTGACGATAGTACGGTTGGACGCATGTACTGCGAAATTTCGCTGGTCCGTTGTCCAGGTCAACTGCGATTTCCGTATCCGTCACCTCGAGCACTTTATATGGGCCTTGCCATCCGTGCTTCTCGCGAAATACGCGAACTTCGCTTCCTAGCGCCAGGGATAGGGGCAGGCGCAACGCTGTATCAGGCCCATTACGCGTATTTAACGCGGTCTGAACCTTCCTCTGGGCGTTGATCTTCCTCAGCTCTGACATCGTTCGCCACACCGCCTTAGCTCTTGCCATTGCGGAAGGTGTAGGCGGCGAATCCATCGTCATTCGAGGCAGAGCACCGAAGACGAGGAGGGTTGGAACGAGGCCATCCGGACCGGCTGTGTCGTTGACAGCCTTGAAAGCCATTTGAAGGACTTGATCAGGGCTCACGGTATCCTTCAGCTCTGCCTTTAATATATCATATGCTCTTCGGACGGGCACATGATACTTCTCAACCTTCCCAACAGCCCAATGTGCTTCCACAGGCACCTGATGACACGTTATTCCCATCAATTTCGCTTCTGCTTGGAACTCGGCAGCAGCGAAATTCGTGCCTGCGTCATGAGTGATCACATCGGGTGGTCCAAGGTATGTATCCATCCAACATTGTTTCAACGCGAGCCACGTTTCCTTGGCCGTCATGTTGGATAGGAATCTCCTGCCTGATAGGCAGTGGCTTGATCAACAACATGGAGGACTGGTCTGCCACCCAATGTCATGACATCAACGATGACTTCGTAATTGAAGTCACAATCATCCTTCAAGCTGAACTTGAACCTTCGTGGCGGGTCGGATTTCATCTGACAGTAGTGGCAGAACTTCTTGATCATTTCCAGAGCTTCGATTTCCACATCATGGCCAGCCGAATTCAGCAGCTTGTGCAGCCGATACACGGATGGATGACCAAAACGCGTGTGGAGGCGCCGCAATTCAGCCTCCGTGAGATATGCCACTGATGCCTCTTGTTTCCGCAAGAAGAACCACGCGTGACCCCATCTTCGAATCACTGGAACGCTCACACCATTGCCAACGAGCTCGTTCGTGACGTTATTTAAATATACGCCGAGCCGATCCATATCAGCTAGGCATAGGAGGAATGGCGTTGGCACGTTGACTATATGAAAATCAACCTCTCCCACTGGTGTGTTCAAGGTGATCACGCCAAGTGGTGTTTCCAATCTTCCTGCACCAAATCTAACTGGTTCGGGCTTGCGATCATCACGGAATTGGACTGGGGGCATCTCTCGTTGGAGAGCACGCAGTTGTTCGATTCCTCCCGTCGATATGCATGCCGCACCTGTGTCCGGCATGATTCCTTGGAACGAGTCTTGAGAGTAACGATCTAGTATGAATTGTGTGGGTTCGTCACTGTTGAATAACTTGATGCCTACTGAGAGATCCGATGATGGAAAGCTTCGTTGGACAGAAGGTCGCAGCAGCGTAGAACGATTCATAAGGGTCAGAGGAGTCAGAATCATCGGATTCCTCGGTGCTCGAGTCATCCTGATCCTGTGATTCCCCTTCATAGTCAGCCAAGAACATAGCATACGAACGAGATTGACCGTGGAAGCCTCTCTCTCGTAGATACTTCTCTTTGGCTGCTTTTCTCTCGTTTTCAGGATGTCTCGTTGAGAAACAACCTTCCTTGCCGCAAACGTAGCATTTCTTCTTCCAATTTGGCTGACGCCTTTGTGATTGACCTCTTGTTCCGCCGGAATTTCGCTGAAATTTGCGATCCACGAAGTGCTGATCATGTCCTCTATCCAGGTCTTGGGGATATTGGCCACTGGGTTGTTCAGATCGTTCATCTTGCATGGCAGATAGCGATGATCGAAGCTGTGATGCCAATCCCTCAAATGTAGGTGCGGAGAGTATATCGCGAGTCGGAATTCAGGCACACCACGGCACGCCCTGAGCGTTGCATCGATCAGGCCACC